CTTATTTCCTCAACGATAACATCTTGGGCTTATTATCTTCAATACACTTTAGCCCTACCGTTAAAGTCATCTAAATTAATTTCGCTGGCATCATCTTAAGATATAAATACAAATTTATAATAGACTATCTCAGAAATTTCAAGTGCTTCGATCCTTTTAGTCTGAAGTGGTGAAGACTCTATTCAAATGCAAACGAAAAGGTTCATGATATTAATTTACATTGCTCTTTGTAGGCAACGTAACTTTTGATAAATTTCATCTCGCTTTTGAACCATCTCTGTTAGATTTCTTATCTCGCCTTAGGAGGCTCTTATGGCCTATTCAGCTTTTGTTCTAAGATGTAGATTATGTTTCTTAAGTAATCTTATACATTCGTTACCAAAATCCTCATGGATTCCTTTAGTGTGGTCTTTGAGTAATTTACTCGTGATTATTTGGTTGTTTGTTAGTTTTCGGTTTTGTATTTAATCTTTGTTTGTGGGATTTCGGTTTTGATAATAGGGTTTCATTGAAAACCTGTTTAATCTAATTGTGTGAAATATTGTAATTTACATTAAGGTTTGGTTAGGGACTTTAACTTTTATTTTGAATGAAATTTTTAACTTAATTTTGTGATATATAGTTTGTAAGCAATTGAATAAATTATTTTAAGCTCTTATCGAGGGAGTTCAAGCAACGACCTAGTTCATTTGGATTCCAATACACATTTTATAGACAAATTCGATTTCAAAAGTACATCTTATTATAACCGTTTAAAAGGAAATCTAATATTAATAGATATACAATTATCTACCTACAGTATTGCATTCAAACCACTAAGATATTCACTAAAATCTTCTCTTTTTATTCAAAAACAATAAAATCCTTCTTTGTAATTATTTTCATCTTTACAAACTAGAATTAGATGCGATTATTCGCCAGAATTCCGTCTGAATATCGTGTTTAAGAAATTTTCTTGTTGCTAACAAATCCGGTATCTCAATAATAAGCTCAGCGGTTCAAGTTGGATTCAGATTAAAATAAATTAAACCGCGAACAATTCTTAAAACATTGTGTTCAGCTGTTATCTCTGAAGCCTTCAGGCGTTTCGTACTGTTTATGCTTATGTTAATTGCGTTTCACTTGTTTTTCAGCTCACATGAATTTCGTTTTGCGTTAATTTTATCTACATATTCTACATAGTAAATGTTTTTGGTATAACTCAGGTGGCGCATGTTTAATGGAGATTGGATTCTAAGGCTTTGTAGATTAGTTTTAAATTAGGTATTATGTGCTTTATTATAACCTAAATCTTCAAGATTTTCGGGTTATCTTATATTTTTATATAAAGCGGAAGAGTTTGTTTTTTTGTTTGTTTGTTCGAATGCGCTAATCTCCGTAACTAAAAATCTGAATTGAATAATTTTTTTTGTCTTGGACAGCGCATTTATCGAGGATGGCCATAAGCTATAAAACATCACGCTACGACCAATAGGAGCTGAGCAGAGCGTGTGAAACCGCTCGGAAGTAGCTAGTTTTATATAAATGTGTCTCTGGATAATCACGGCTCCGATTTTGTCTTCTGGTTGGTTTATCCTTACAGTATAGGAGATATAATAATAATAATTTAATACAACGGCAATATAACCAAATTGTTATCAATGTTTGACAATACACACGTAACGTCATCATCATTAGATCATATAATTATCAGCAACAAGATAATTATAGGCCTTCTTCGATTTTCAGATTCATCCAGCATATCTATCTGTGTCTATTTATTTTAGTTCGTATGTGTATTATAATAACATAATAGGTAAAATTAAAAATGTAATGTTATAAATTAATTTACAGATGGACATAAAAATAGAATTTATAAAACTACTCAATTATGCGTATAATAACAGTTTGTAGAATCACATTTTAGTCCTCTTCCGCAACAAAAGTATTAATGACATTTTAAACAAAAACAAACAAAACTAAATTAAAAGCCAACGAAATAAGACGGAAGTTTGCAAATTCGTGGCCGGGGACCGATGGATCACAATTTAATACAACAGGAGGGCTCGGAGACAATGCCTCGTCCCGTTTTAAGATAGTTTCTTGCACAACTCGGACCAAAGTTAGCAAAGTTAAATAGTGCAAAGTTGTGCGATTTAGCCTCAACTCTGTTGGACCATTGTACGTACTTTTGTTGATAAAAAACAAAGTTACTACAGTTACTTTCATGTAAATTGAGGTCCTTTTTCTTCAAAGTTGTCTGATGATGGAATTAATTTGAACCTCCGTGCCTCGGTCGCAGCGGTTGGTGGTTTAGAAAAAATGGTGTATCGTTTCTGTATTGTGGATTTCGTGTTTTTTTTTTCAATATTTTCCTTATACTTTCTTTGTGGGGGTCAAATTGTGATTTTATTGAATGGTTTTGATACAGTTTCGTTTGAATGTTGGTTTAAAGTATACGAAAATGAAATATGTACTATACTTTAATAACTATAACTGCATATGTAGGCGCTGCTTCTATGGTTGAATAAGTAACAAGTGTGTAGGTAAAATGGAATTATATTGTATTAATGTTAAAGTATATGTATTTGTTTTGATTATATAATTAAAATTGTTGTGTGTTAGGGTTCATAAATAAAAATTAATGTTGAGTTTCTACTACTTATTTCTCTAGATAAAACTGTTAGTAGGTATATATTTTTATCATCAACTAGCTTCCGCCCGCGACTTCGTACGCGCAATCTCATTTTCCCCCCGTTCCCGTTCGTGATTTTTGGTAAAAAGTAAAAAAAAGTATTGTATAAAGAGTATCCTATGTCCGTCTCCTGGTTCTAAGCTACCTCCCTGTCAATTTTCATCTAAAGCGATTGAGGCGTTCTTGAGTTATAAATAGTGTAACTAACACGACTTTCTTTTATATATATAGACGACTTTCTTTTATATATATAGATTTTTGGTAAAAAGTAAAAAAAAAGTATTGTATAAAGAGTATCCTATGTCCGTCTCCTGGTTCTAAGCTACCTCCCTGTCAATTTTCATCTAAAGCGATTGAGGCGTTCTTGAGTTATAAATAGTGTAACTAACACGACTTTCTTTTATATATATAGATGATTAATTCAATAACTATTTTCTCAACATTCGTTCGAAAATTACAACTTTTATCTATTGTAAAAGTTTTATTAGTTATCTTATGAATAATAACGGGGCTAAAGTTGAAACTGGTTACATTTTACTTGACATCATTTTTTTATTTCAAGATAATGGAAAATTTTGCTAAAGTTTCATGATTAACGACGGCTTGAAGCTAATTTGAATGTTAATTATTATAATAGTAGTAGTTTGTAAACTGATTTATGTTTGTTCATCACTTTGTCTAATAAATAGTTTATAATAGAGACGTTTGATATTCTAATTGTTTGTGGTTTAAAAATTTTTGGTCTTTTTGTGTTCTCAGCTAACAAATTAAGTTTTTTAAACCTAATTTTTTTGCTTATCTCAAGACTTTGATTTTTGCGATGAATTTTTTTAATAATGTGGAGTTTAAATATCATTTATTTGATAATAGGGTAGTTTCCTAAACTTTATTTTAACATCCGCCTGGTAGATTAATTTAAAACTTAAGACACGTATTTTTTTCTTTTCTCACAAAATTAAATACTTTCGACGATAAATTAATTTGAAATATCCTGTGACGTTACAGCGTGTCACATTTTATAGCACGTTATGACGTACCGACCTCCCACTTCTAAACTTAGCGCCATTTTATCTAAGTATTGCAACTTAATCCGAGAAAATAAAAAAATACGTGTCTAATATTTTTTCATTATCTAACTGACGGACTAATTAGATTTTTAATTTTGATACCCCGGAAACTACCCAATTAGAATGGCAACACTATGACCTTTGTGAACATAAAATAGTACGTCCTAAAAGCGGTTAAGTAGGTACAATGACCTCCAAAAATGAAATTTAAAATTGATCGATATACAAGTAAAGGACGAAAAGGGCTATAAATATCTGTCAGAACCCATCCAAAGTGTCATTCGATAGCCTACAGCCACACACGACTTTACAACAGCCATGAAACAAAATTGCCATCCGCCATTTTAATCTTCTCAACATTTTTACAACTCCCTAATATTTTTCCGATATCCGTATTCGATAGGGGTCGTTTTATTTCACGACTTTTGTTGAACTTCAGGTGTATAGACGAGTGATTAATGGTAGCATCCAATGTACACCATGTTATGAGTTCTATGTAATAAGGGGCGAGTATTTTGTCATCAAAGTCCTTATATAACCAGTTAAGCTTATTAACTAAAAATCGCGGGTTACTCCCGTGAATATACTGAGAAAAGCTCTACTAGTTTTGAACCACAGAGGGGTTCTTCATCATGAGCAGCGTACGCGGCCGCGGCGATGTCGCGCAGCCTACTGTTATTATAAAAACAAAGTTAAGCTTATTGTTATACATTGGCTTCATCAGCCATAAGACGTCAACAGCGAAAGAAAAGCCTTTATTTGAATCATAGGTGTAGGTGATATTCTGCTGTCTAACCGAGAAAATGTCTATTATAATGAAGGCTACTCAATTTTAAGTCACGCTTAACATATTAGATGCCGTGTTGGACAGTGATGTCTGACCCTAGCGGGGGATTAGCCTTTAACAGATTTTATTGGCAGTTAAAGACTTAAGTATAGTTCTGCCACTGCAAATTCTTTGTAAAATGATAAAGATGGCACGATATTTAAGTACGACTTAAAATTGAGTACCCTTTCAAGATTCGGGTATAACAGCTGCAAAATCTCCAAACTGCGTTATCACTGAAATTTTTGAAAAATCGGCAACAACAGTTTTTAGCTCAACCGAAAAATCTTTCCAATGCTCGGTACTCACGCTTGCGACCAAGCCGCTCGAAATTGCCATCCGCCATTTTAATCCCCTCAACAATTTTATAACTCCCAATATTTTTCCGATATCCCCATGCGATACAGAGTGATATATTAAAACTTTTTGACAGGTGAACCGGCGATTCGATCGCGATACGCACGACTCACCGTGTTGGTTCCCCCGGAGCCACCGCGCATCGTCGAAGGCAATTTCTTTTCAACGATAGAGGATAGAAATATCAAATTGGAGTGTGTGTCTATCGGTGGAAAACCGCCAGCTGAGGTAAGGATTGATTTCTATGTTTTATATAAGTAGTTAATTTGTGTTTGTGAGGTATTAAAGAGAGGTTTAAAGAGTGTTTTAAAGAAGTGTTTGAAGCTCTTACTAAAAGTGGTTAGAGGTCAGTTATCCTGAAGGTTGTATTGTATTTGTTGACGTTTCAAAGTACCAAATTATGGTTTAATTGAAATAAATGCTTTGACTTAGACTTTGGTTAGTAGAACTGTTTAATAAAGAAAGTACTATTGCTTAGTTTTAAGGGGAGTTTTGGATGTTACGCTATGATGTAATCAAGTAATGATTAAAACTAAAAGTTAGGAATTTCATATACATACTATAATGTAAAGAGTACTTTCGTAGGACAAGCAGAAAACTGGTAAGTAAAAAAAAACGAGACAGTTTAAAAATTTTATTATATTGTTTTTCACGAAAACAATTTCGTTGGTCCTATTTTAAAAAGTAATATTCGCACATGTTGTGCCGTTTTTGAATTGTATGTTTAAAAAATATTTTTATTTCATACAAAAGTACATGTATGTATTTGCATTCGAACGCTTGTTTCAATACATATATCACAAAAATACTATATACTTTTTAAAAACGATATTACTTTTTTGATAAATTATATTGAAGAAGATAGAATCTGGTTTATTGGATACTTAAGATTAATCTTTATAACTGTTGGGATTGACCGATGCGCTTTTATGATTTTCAAAAGTTTTATTGCACAGTTAGTGCGGTGGCTGGGCAACCGGCTGCCGCGCAATATTTAGCAGGTTCTGGTCTTAAACAGAGCAAACCTTGTGTAAGCCACAAACTGTTGTTTCTACTCTGGGTGTCATGTCACATGTGTATGTGAAATCATATGTTAAATAAAACTCGCGAGTTACTTACGTAAATGTACTGAGAAAAGCTCTACTAGTTTCGAACCGCAGACAGGTTCCGCTACATGAGCAGCGTGTGCGGTCGCGGCGATGTAAATAACCCGCGATTTTTAGTTAATTTAGTATGTCTCACGATAGTTATTATAAAAACTAATCATATGTTTGTAAACGCTCCCATGATACATGAAAAAATCACTTTCTATTGCATCGTGACTCAAGAACAAAAAAGAAACAAAATGTGAGTGACAAAATAGCACTAGTACCTCTACTTATCCTTTGAAATAATTATGAAAAAATCATTATCTTACGTATAATTTAATATCACGAGTAACTGAAAGAAACACAAATGAATGTCACTACTAAAATGTTTCCACGGCGATATTTTTTTCAGTCGTCACCAAACTTTTTCAGGGGCAGATAATATTAATTAATCAATGTCGCTACTTAAATGGAATTTTACAGGCTCCCCAATGTAATACCTCGACCTTTTCATGAATTTTCGCGATTTTTCTTTAATATTCCACGTACTTTTAGTAAGCACCTATTTTTTCTATTGGAATCTTTTTAAAATACACTTGGGAGCAAATAAAAGGGGCCACTAGCGTTTTTACTTTTTCATTTCTTGATAAATATTTTATGATACAAGTATTTTATTAATTGGTAACGTATGACGTATAAAAGGCAATTTATTTACCTTTAAAATGAGAGCATTTTGTTGTAAAAGGATTCTTATTTTTAACGTTATTAAAAGAACCCTGGGCTCAGTTTTTTCGTCCGCTTGTGTATATTGTGTTCAAGTCTTTTCTCAAAATTTTTTATGGCCGGTAAACGAGCAGACAGATCACCTGATGGTAAGCAATCGGCGTCGCCTATGGACACCTGGAACACCAGAAACATTACAAGTGCGTTACCGGCCTTTTGGGGATTAGGAATTTGAGGATCGTTGGGGATTCAGGAATTGGGGAGATTGGGGAAGGGGAGGGTAATTGGGCCTCCGGTAACCTCACTCACACGACGAAACACAACGCAAGCGTTGCTTCACGTCGGTTTTCAGTGAGGCCGTGGTATCACTCGGATCGAGCCGACCCATTCGTGCCGAAGCATGGCTCTCCCACATTTGTTTCTTTGTTCGCGTGTGTATATTGTGTTCAAATCTTTGCTCAAACTAAAATGTAGCCAATATATGGCTTCTATCGCCTTTTATACAGGTTCTAAGTCATAAATTTACTTAATGATATTTTCTAGACTGCTAAAGAAGTTAAAATTTGCCCTAAAAGTGCTGATGCTTTTAAAAAAATCAGCCAATTTTATTTCGTAAAGTTTTTTGTAAACATGTTTGTTTGTCCCGAAAATTACGTTCATAAACCACATTACAGTAATGACATCGTTTTTTTTTTTTAAATTATGTTCTTAATGTATTTGGAAGATTTATGAGTGAAAATAGTAATATCTAGTCTATTTACATGACGTATTTTTATTTGTAAAACTCTATACTTGAGTAACTGGTCCTGCCAAGCAAAGAGGTTATGTAGAAACCCCCGTATATTGAAGAGGTCTGTAATGCAGCAGTCAGTCACCAACAGTCCAGGCTGGTTGATGATGTATATATACCATCAAAATATAACATAACATAACATCACACCTTTTATCCCCGAAAGGTTAGGCAGAGCTGCACATTATACCACTGTACAATGTAACACCCACTTTTCACTATTTATGTTATGAGTCCCATGTAATAGGGGGTGAGCCTATTGTCATATATACCGGGCACAATTCCAAACTCCGTGCTACTAATGAGAACATTTAAAAACCCAGTAATACTTTGCCCGACCCGGGAATCGAACCCGAGACCCCTTGCCCGGCATTCGCACTTACGACCACTCGGCCAAAGAGGCAGTCCACCATCAAAATATGTTGTTTTTAAATGGTGACTGAAGGTTTCAGTTTCACAACAGGTCTAGTCATTTAGTTATCAAATTAAAAAACTCGACGTATCAACTGAAATCGTACCAAAACACAAAATACTATAGAACAGATAAAATTTTTACCCCTAACTTCAAAAGAAATGTGGAAAATTCTGACCTATTTACACACAGAGTAGAATTCAGAAAGCAGGTGCAGGGGAAGTACCTACTAAAGTATGAAGTATTATCGGAAACGGTACGAATGCACATGGCTGCACACCAAGCTATACAGAACCAGTATATCAAGCTCTCGCTTCGTATGATCCTTCCGAACATTCATCGGCCAGTTTATACTGGTCTTGCATAGCTTGATGTGAATTGTGTTCATGAAAAATTGTGCTCAATTTGTGAAGAGTACGCACGGTTTGTTGCGATGTAGGTAAAGTGCAGACGAGTTTTTGAATAGAGCTGGGGAGATATTTGAAAGTTGATCTAGCTGTATAAATGATGTTTAGTTTACGAACAATAGAACCTACCTATCATAAAACTGTGGTGTTGTTTAATTTGCATTTGTGACACGCAAATTCATTTCTGTCAAAGCATACCTTCATTTTTGTTCAAGGCTATCTCCCATGGGGGTAGGCAGAGACTATGGAACGCCATTTGCTACGATTCCTACATGCTTCTTTCACTTCACAGTCAGTCATCAATCTTTTCATGCATGCTCGTCGGTTAAGGGTAGTTTTTATTTGGCCCTACTTTAATATATATCGCCAATTTGGTCACTATATGTCCTACATGGACATATACTCGGTGCCTTCTACCAACGGCCCCATTCATATCCCCTGTGTATACTTGCACTTAATTTTACTCAACACATACTTCTCAGGGCTCTCATTTCTACCGCATTAATCCTGCTCTCATATTTCTTCTGCCACACCCATGATTCTCCCGTCTCTTAGTTGCTAGTCTCTTACGAACGATTTTACGTAGTGGAGTGGAGTGGAGTAACGATAAAAATAACGTCTTATAACAAACTAGCGGACCCAACAGACGTTGTCCTGCATATCCACTTGAATGTATAAACAAAAATTCATTCAAATTAGTTCAGCTGTTTAGGATATAAATAACCTAAACATCGACTGCAGCGCCATCTGCCGGGCTGATTTGTGAATCTAAACCATTCCCAGATACCCTTGAACACACACAAAAAATTTCATCAAAATCGGTCCAGTCGTTTGAGAGAAGTTCAGTGACATACACACTCACAGAAGAATTATGTATATAAAGATTGTTTGAATTTGTTTCCAAAATCAGTCTTTACTTTTAAATGAAATTTGAATCATTATTTCTTTACAATCCAAATCTTTAAACTACCAAAGTTAGTATGTATATCAAGTACGAATTCAATAGAGTTATTGCAATCAGAATTAATATTGATACAAATTTGTACCAGTGTAGTTGTAAGCGCGAACAGTGCAATGCATATTAAGGCTTGGATTACATAAGCGGTGTTAGTTTCGAAAATTAATAGCTCAGTGTATTGTTATTAAATGAAATTCAGCTTCAACGCACAAATTGTTAGTGAATTAATACTTTAATTGCATTGACATATTAGTCGTTGTATGCTTATCGACCCGAGCGTGCGGCGCATCGCGTTCCGCGCGCGCCTAAACGAGCCATCAGACCACCACGGATGGGGCCGGTATATATATCGTCGAATTAAAATTAATTTAATTTTGTGAGAAAATAAAAAATACGTGTCTAAAGTTTTAAATTAATGTACAAGATGGATTTAAAATGAAATTTAGGAAACTACCCTATTACCGATTTAGCTCGGGTTCAATTCCTGAATTCAGGACAGAAAAGTCTGCTTGAGAATTATCGTTTATTTCAGTTTAAAAAACATCACTGTAGCAATACGTACATATTGAATACCGTACATAATGCTGAGGTGGAGGCCCGTTCGGCATGGGCATGCATCTATTTTTTCCAATTTTGTGATGTTTATTTTTTGTTTTAATTTATATTTATTTATATATTTTTTTATTTCTTATTTTTGTCTACTTCTCTGTACATGCAATGTGTCGAATAAATGTTTTTCTTTCTTTCTTTCGTATCTTATTGAAATCAAAACTTGCATCGTCAAAAGCAGTTATACATACATACATAGATTCCTAAAAAATATTTGTCCGATATTTTTAACCAAACCTTGGACATTCAAAATGTAGTCATTATTCTCCATTGAAGGTTCTATATCAATCTGTTTGTCCCTGTATTTGCCAGAGAATATTCCATTGAAGCTCTCTTCGGAGTGAATGGGTATCCCGAGAGATCGCGTACAATTAGGAGCTAAATTGAAAATCATGTTTGAGTCTGCCCAGAAATTCTGTTTCTATTACGACAAAATATTTTATAATTAATTTCTAGATGTAAGACGGACTATGGTGTTTAATAAACATGTACGAACATGTTTGAATTAGGTTAAATAGTTTTGTGTTTAAGACACTTGTAAAATCTGAAATAGGGATGATGAAAGAGTATGAAAATAAAAATCTAATTAGTCCGTCAGTTAGGTAATGAAAAAATATTAGACACGTATTTTTTTATTTTGTTGTATAATAAAATGATACTTAGATATAACGAATCAAAGTTTAGGAGTGGGGGCTAAAACGTCATTTCTACGTATAAAATTTACATAGAAGTGACGTCACGAGACATTTCAAATCAATATATCGTCGAAAGTATTCGTTTCTGTAAAAAAGTAAAAAGTAATCTACCAGACGGACATTAAAATAAAAATTAGTCATTTACCCTCATGTGGCTATACCATTTTGATATTTTTAAATGCAAAATTTTTAAGGAATTAATCGGTCATAGGGTAATAAAACCCAATAAGAAATTTTAAAATTATGATTTGAGCACAATATTATTAGACTTTTTGATCACGATAATAATGAATCAGTAAAACCTTTTCCCCCAAAATAGACAAAAATATGTTATTATAATATCTTCACGAACCAAGAAGAACAAAAGTAATGATTCTATCTATATTATGCTTCGTTGTAAAGGATTACAATTAGTTAAAGTAATATTAGATATTACAGATTTTCTGATGAGGTACGGAAATCTGAAATGCGGAAATTATTTGCCGAGGGATTTTAATCATCTTGCATAATTGATGTGAGTTTGTGAATTTCGAATTGAGTTCCTCTCTCCTTTTGTATCCACGTTTCTTAATTAAAATTATGATTTAGACTGATTAAAATATTTTATTTTAGCTTTTCTTTATTAGAAATTTTCTTTTAATCATTAATGATGGACGGAATTTTCGGTTGTTAATGCGTTGTTAAAATTTTGTTAGATATATATATATATATAGATAACAGAGAATGAAATTGTAGAATTACAAGATCTTTGTCATGACTTAAATAGTATACGTAGGCTAGGTAGACGTTTTGTAGAAGTAGGTGTAATATCTAATGCTTTGCATCATTTTTGACTAAGTATGATAAGGTTAGAGGTAAATTCAGCAGTGAATAGAAACAGACTGATAATAAGGTTGATGATAATGCAGATAAAAACAAAGATGCAAAACATACAAACGTTAGAAAACTAATATTGAATCCATTTCATATATCAGACATAACATAACATAACCCAACTCTTTCCTTTAAAAACTCGCATAAAAATGAAAGAAGCTCAAGCAAAATTTTAGCCATATTTTTCTTTTGTAATTCCAATGCCCGAGACATTCTCAAAAGAGTATTTTGCATTTAAATAGTTCTCATCCTGATAGCTTTGTTCTTATATCTTTATACTTTGTTTCAGATTACATGGGTTGATAGCAATGCTGGTGTTTTGACTCAAGGCGTCACTTATAGTGTGGAGCCCATGCCTGATGGGCAACGGTTTACAGCCAGGTGAGTTGTGTTTCTTCTTCTTATATAAACATTATCTGTTTTGTCTTCGGTTTTTCTGTGTGTCTGATTGATAAGATAGACATACTCAATAGATTATGATCTTAAACAAAACTCATATTACTGTTTCTATTGCACCCTTACAGTGTCAATGTGAATTATCCAAACTCTTATTATTATCCACTAATAACGGTTTATCAAGATTTTATAAAATATGTGCTTCAGCTTTTTCCTAATGATGAGCTTTTTCTTTTGTTTCACCAGGTCAATTATAAAGATGACTCCAAAACAGGAGCATCACAACCAAACGTTTACCTGTCAAGCACAGAACACCGCTGACAGAGCGTACCGGGCTGCCAGCATACAAATAGAGGTAAGTACACTAAAGACAAACATAATAATTAGAGAATTGAACTTGATCGTAAAGTAAAAATTAAACCAGGTGATAAAACGGTAAACGAAGAAGTGTCAAACAAAATGACTGAACAACCAAATCCCATAAAACAGGGTATAAAATAAAAACCAAAATTTCTAGACACAAAAGTTAGCCAGCTAAATGACCAACAAAATACAAAACATACAAAGAAAACAAAAATCCAGTAGGTAGTCCCGAAAAAATATTGACAAAACGGACTGGACACCGGCTCGGATGGGCGATACGTGTCGTCGTTTGCAACATGAAGAGATTTAGCACTGGCAAAGGCTTGCGCAGTAAATATGACCACACTCGCAGAATACCAAATGACGTTAGAAGTATGAAAATTGTTTCCAGAAATGCTGTCGTATTTTTATGGCTTATATATTTATGACAGTGGAATTAGGGCCACGATGTCCGTTGAATATCATTTGCATTGTTTTCGGAAGTGAATGAACGTTGTCCTTAATTAACTAAAGAGGTGTACTGAAATTTTGTTGCATTTTGATGGGGTTAAGTGTAGATTTGTAGACATGTAAACAGCTCACTGTAAGCTGTGCGACGTCACCGCGACCGCGCACGCTGCTCATGAGGAAGAACCCCTCTGTGGTTCGAAACTAGTAGAGCTTTTCTCAGTACATTCACGTGAGTAACCCTCAATTTTAGTTAATTTAGTATGTCTCACGATAGTTATTATAAAAACATAGTATAATATTCTGTACTATTACTAATTGTCAGTCATAAAAATTGATTTATTATATAGATTCTCTTATAGTTGCGATAGAAACAATAATAACGATATTAAAGAAAATTGTATCGATTGTAAAGACAAAACGACAAAATTAGCACATAATTTAATTGATACCAACAATGGAATTTATACCGCTAGCAGACACATGAATTCCTATAAGGAAACCCTATCAAACGCGTTCGATATACAATTCACCCTCTCCTAATTAGGAAAATACTTGGAACCGACATCAAACCCCCTCAATGCTCCTCTCATCTCCTTATGCATTCAAGTCTTGTTCGACATTGCCAGAAAACCCGTGTTTTTCTTTGGAAACAGCTAAGAACTGTTTCGAGTGAAAAATGGATTTTGTTTTGTAGTATCTTCTTATTCTTATGAAAATTTGTTTTGTGATTTTAGTTTTTCTTGCTGTTTCTTTAGATTTCATTTTCGATTGCTCGTTGTCTTGTTTGGTATAATTTTCTTTTGATTATCTTCTTTAATGTTGTTAATGATTATTCTTTGTAGTCTTGTAATAAGATTCCATTATCTATGAGACTCTTTTGACACTTCATTTCATAGATCTTTTTAGTAGACGATTTTTATGGTCCATAATACTTTGATAGTAGTAGTATGTCTTTTGTAAATTCGACGTATTAAATCAACAGTTTCAATTTCATAATTTCAGTTTACTTCATTATAAGGCTTTAACTAGTTATCAATAACATTTGGGAAAAAGAAAAAAAAATCAGTAGTTTTATGTTATGTGATGTAGTAGGATTACAAAAGATTTTACTTCAAGAGACCATTACAACAAAATACAATTCAATTCCATTTCCTTCGCTCTCTTAAACCTGTTACAAGTATCAATACACCATATGTTACCAATACTTGCACACCATTCTACCAAAACGAAGATACAAGATACCAATATAAGTAGTTTTGCTTTCGTAAAGTAAATAGCCTCCGTCTAAACTTTCCCTAGCTCACAGCGATTGCGTTCCCCTCAGTTTTGCCTCATAAAATATTGAGATAAAATTCCAGCCGATGGTATTTTGCTATCTTCAACCCCTAGTAAAGTTTCTTTAGGCTGTGTTTTGTTTTCTCTTTTATAAAAGCATAGCCTATTTTCCATGAATTTTTCTACGGTTATGTTCGCATCGATTTTTGGGTGGATATTGTGCAAATGATTTGTGTGGTCCGTATGATGGGATGTTGTGTGATATTGATGGCTTTGGTATTTTGTTGTTGTAGCGATACTTGAGATTTTATACTTTGGTTTTAGAGGTTAGTATTTTTTATGGTCAGGATTAAGTTTTCACGTTAATATACTTTTTGTTATTATATTTTTTTTATATTTTGAACTGTAATTCTCTGTGTAAAATTCGTTTAGACTGATTTAGTTTCGACTCTGGCTCGATGTTAGTTTTTTGTATCACTAGGATTTTCTCCTGTGTCGTGGGTGCGTTTACAAATATACAAGTTCACATACATATGATACCCAGACTTGGAACAACAATCTGTGGATCACACAAAGAGTGGTTCCGTGCGGGAATCGAACCCGCGACACGTTGTGCGGCAGCCAGTTGCCCAGCCACCGCGCCAACCGTGCAGTCATTATACTTTAAATACTTGAGACTAAACCGAAAATAGTAGTAGGTAACTAAAATTTAAATCGAATGATTATTCAAGTTTTTACATCAATTATAACAAAAGATTTTGAAGTATTTTAACTCCCACTAAACTATATATTTCAAAGAAATAGGTACCTAAATTTTTCCAAGAAGAAATTATTACAATCTTTTTTGCTACGTTTCATTTTGTATTGTACAAAATATTTTATTCTACTAGTAAGGGGAACAATATCGTAAAAGCAGTAACCAATATTTCATACGATATCCGTCATACTTCGTCACACAATAAGGATAACATTAAGAAATTTCTTCACCACAGTATTCGTTCCATAGTCCAAAATATGTCTTTAATATCCATATTTTTAATATACATTGAACGTGACTGTCTATTTTCTTCGCCTTTCTATGTTAAAAGCGTATAGTGTAGATAGTTAGAAAACTCAAGATTTCCCAAAAATAAAGCATTCTTTATTTATTATAGAAAAGAATTTACCGTAGGATGATGTTTGATAGAAAGAATGAAAAAAAAAAACAGACATAAGAGAAAGAAGTTTGTATTGTTGAATCGTAGCAATTGGCATTCCATAGTCTCTGCCTATCCCCATGGGAGACAGGCATGAATTAATGTATGTATTCTGCTGACCTCAACCAACTTCTGAAATGGGTCGTAAGAAGAAGAATCATTTTTGCTAGCCCTTCTGTGTTTTTTTATGGCATAAACCGGTAAACGAGCAGACGCATTACCTGATAGTAAGCAATCGGCGTCGCCCATGGACACCTGGAACACCAGAGGCATTACAAGTGCGTTGACGGCCTATTGGGGATTAGGAGTTTGAGGATCGTTGGGGATTCAGGAATTGGGGAGATTGGGGAAGGGGAGGGTAATTGGGCCTCCGGTTACCTCACTTACACGACGAAAAACAACGCAAGCGTTACTTCACGTCGGTTTTCTGTTAGGCCGTGGTATCACTCCGGTCGAGTCGGCCCATTCGTGCCGAAGCATGGCTCTCCCACACTTAAATTTTGAAAACTACGGCCAAAGCCACGGGTAAAAGCTTAGGTACAACATAAAATACTTTTACTACACACTATATTCCTCTACATAGTTATATTACACACAAAATACATTGATCAAAAGTAATGTACTTTCTGTACCGATGTAAAAATTATTGTCGTCCCAAAAGTCAGAAGGAAATTACTATTCCGATCACATACACAAAGATACTGGATGTGGCATTAATATTAATATTATTATGTTTCTTCCTTTAATACGTAGGCTTCGTTTATTGTTTCGCTCGGATATTGAAATCTAGATGTGGTCTCATTTTGATAATGTATAGTCTAGGTTTCATAATGTAATGTTACACCTACGTTTGTCGAGAAAACTGTTTGGGATATTTATAGACTCTTAACAAAGAACAGAAATTTTTATTACTATTTTAAATAATAAAATCTGAACACTTCTGTGTATTGTGTATTTTATACAATTAATAGTTTTAAAACCGTCTTATTACGTGAAAACGTTTGGCATTGTTAATAGACAAAGCGAAAAGACATGAATTAACTTGACAGTACTCAAAGATATTTTTGAAAGGTTATACTTTTGATAAGTAACCCATGACGACATATTTTAACATTTGAGTAGAATAAATAGAGTTAGTAAAAACCTAAAGCCTGATTTAGCATTCATAAAACAGGTACATATAGAATATTACACAAACAATCGTAAAATCCTTATCAACCCGACTCAATAAATAAGTGCGCTCACCCCCGTTTCTAAGCCCCCAATCGTTTCCATTCTTTCAACATCCACGCCGCTGTTATGACGAGAAAGGCTGGTATGTTTATCATATATTTTTTCGTTGGTCATAAAATAAAACCCCTTTTTACTGGCAACCCAATTACTTTTTACGATCTGATGTTCCATGATATTACTATGATAGGAATATACTCGCCATTTGTAAACGTAATGCCTATGTGACCGTTTTTCTTTTTTAATGGTGGCAAATATAAATTTTGATAGCGTCTCCTATTTTTCGAGATTGAAACTTGTAGGTCGTATTTACGATATCTTTACGGGTTCCGATAAATATTTGAGGGAGGATATTGTGGTTTTGTCGGTTTACCCAGTGGATTGTATAACGATATTTATATTGGATATTAAAGTATGTTAATGGTTTATTTTTCGGTGTTAGAGATTTTTATCGTAGGACGCTATTGTTGTATTGGAGATATTTGTCACTTTGTGTGTATTTATTTGTATCGTTTGTTTAAAATTATTGATATTAATTTCAACTAAATATTTCCAATCACACTCTACATAAAGGTTTAAAAAGTTTAACAGACTTATAATATCGAAGTGATTTAGTAAATTTCCCTTTTTATACCTTTTCTTCATTCTGATTTTCGTTATTTACAAACCATCATAGTTCACTGCTGTTGCTTCCACATAATCTCCTCGTTTAATAAACCAATTGGTCCTGTATTACAAATCGGCAAAATACGTCTTCTTCCTACATTTCCTCCTATCAGACATCATCTTATTTCAGGGAACAAAGACTAAAGTGCCCTAAGAGAAAAAGAGGATCCTCCGACCAGGCGAGGTGTTCGTGCCTGGCCAGCTTTCTGCCCTAACCGTTGTTCGTTAGAATTTTCTTTACGTGTTAATTCACATGTAAACTTCATGTGTGCGATGTAGGATTTTTGTGACGTCATCCGTTAACTTGTTTTCCATCGATAGTCTATGTGCGTGGACTGTCATTTGACATACATATATCACCACACTATCATTCCTGTCTCCTTTGAGAAAATTGTCTCTCCCTTCCTAATCACTCTTTCGAAACACAAATGTTCTTTATTATAATATCGAGCTGTTAAAAATGCACAACCGTCCCCTTGTGCATTATTATTTTCTGTGTTTGCACTATAATTCTCTTGCTGTTCATTAATTACAGAAGCAGGTACTGTTTTAGTACTTCTTAGGTGCAATGAATCATTTTTATTATCTCTAGTTTGTATTTAAACTGGCAATGAGTTCTTCCTTGTTGCGCCATTTTGTTTTTTCTTTCTTTTTTTTTGTTGAAATTGTTATGCATTTAATTTATTGTTGCTCTTTTGAAAATGGAAGCGTTTTGAATTTGAGTGTTCGGGTGTTTATTTGTTTTTGATTTTATTTTGTAGCCCGTTTGCTTCGCTAGGGAAAGATTTGAGTTTGAAAGTAAAATCGAGCAGTGTTACTGTTTTATTACCTTTAAGTTTTTTGAAAATTCTCGTGGTAGGCTTACTCCTTATTACACGGGACTCATATCTGGTGAAAAGTGAATGGTACTTACTCAAAAAATTTTCGATTAACGAAAATATGTGTTATTCAATTATATCTATCGTGAGATATACTAAATTAAGTAAAATCGCGGGTTACTCACGTGAAGTGAGCTGCGCGACACTTACTTAACTTTTATACATACCTTTAAACTAATAAAATAAAGTTTCCCATACAAATTTAACATTTCTAACTACTGAGTAACTGAATCATAAAAACCCTTAACATAAATCATAAAAACCTAAATAAATAGATAGGTGCTTGAGACTTAACTGTTATTAAAACTAGTATTTGGATACTTGTACTTGAAATAATTTCATTCATTTTTAGTTTTCTACTTGTAAATAATTGTTATCATTATAAAGTAATTGTATTTTTAGTACTCAATTGTTATAGATGAAGAAAGTGATTAGTTTGGTTTGTGAATTATAGGTCTGTTTATTCGATTTTGTTTTAGTTTTAATTGAATCACAGAATTATATATCCACATCATTAAATAAAAGGCATACTCATTCACAACCAAACACTCGAAAATCGATTCTAGCGCCCTCTATTTAACCGCAAACCATACTCACTTGAGCCCTTATTTAAAGACATTAAAGATGCGGCCTCCATATCCACTTTTCTTTTCATACCAATGATTGGAAGAAGTGAAGTCTTATAATCTTCATTTCTATTGAAGAACAGAAATACTTTAGAACAAAAATCGATACTAAGGAGTCTAATGGCTAATATAATGAGTTATTTATTGACAAGGTTAGACAGAAATATATGTACTTCTAGTAAGCATTTCCAGTTTTAACTAAGTATGAGTCTATTATTAGATACACTACAATAGGGTACTAGACAGTGTATGAAAATTAAAAAGGAAATTAGTCCGTCAGTTGGACAATGAAAAAATATAAGACACGTATTTTTTTATTTTGTCGTATAAGAAAACAATTCTTAAACGTAGTTAAGTTTAGAAGTGGGAGTTCGTTATTTCACGCTACCCAATAAAATGTAGTAAATCGTGACGTCACACGACATTTCAAATCAATATATCATCGAAAGTATTTAATTGTGTAAGAAAAGAAAAAATTCCAGAGAGATATTAAAATAAAATTTAGAATACTACCCTACTTCACCATTGTATAATTGTACCCACATTGCGTGAGCCATGACATGGTCCTGTATAATCATCTCATAAAATGTGCAATAATAGAATATTATTTTAATGAATCTTTTTTGTTGACAGGTCAAATACGCACCAAAAGTAAAGATGTACATCAAGTCTAGTGCCAATGGGAAGATTCCAGAAGGAGAAGATGTGATTATAGGTAAGATTGCAATAATAGACATAAAATGGAATGACACGCGTGAACCAAAAAGAGTTAAATAAGAAAAAAACCCATGTGCACTCCATAATGGATGTTGATCCAAATGAACATAATGAAAAAAACAATACCAAATTCTTATAAAGAAGTCTACATTGTTAATGTTTGAAAAATTGTAGAATTGAATTATAAAAATCCTCTAAAAGTCCTTAGGCCCTCGAAATAAAAGGCCCATAGTACATGTTTTAATTTTTATACGCGTAGGAAACACGCATTAGGGACGCGCGTTTTCGGTGCCGTAGACGCTGATTGTTGCGTTTGCATTGATGACACCCGTGCATGAAGCGCGTATTCGCGCGTTTGAAGCGCGTACAAAAATATGCCAACCCGTGTGCTTAATGGTCCAAACCACTAAAACAAATGACGCTCATTTTTTTCCATTTTATCTTTTCATTATTAATTTATTGGTATTTAATAAAATTAATTTCTATTCAACAGCGTGCAAAGCCGATGCAAACCCATCCAATCTGACTTACAAGTGGTTTCTGAATGAAAAACTTATTGAGGGAAATACCACTGAGTTGGTGAGTATATTTCTATAAATAAGTAGAAGTTAATATATATATATCAGTACTTTTATAATTACACAAAAGTATAAAGTAAAAATTTGTGATTAGCAAACAAACAAATAAGCAAAGAATTTTTGGTTAGAAATTTTTGAATTTTGTGGAAAACCCAGTACATTATAATAGAATAAGTGAGTTACAAAATACTTTATAAGTAAACCGTGCTATAATGAAAATTAAAAAGAAAAAGAGAAATATTATGTTGAAATCAAAAACTTCAAATAAATACAATATCATTAATCTTACATAAAATAACATCACGCCTTTTATCCCCGAAGGGATAGGCAGAGGTGCACATTACGGCACTTAATGCCACTGTACAATGTAACACTCACTTTTCGCTATTTATGTTGTAAGCCCTATGTAATAGAGGGTGAGCCTATTGCCATATACCGGGCACAATTTCAGACTCCGTGTTTACACTGAGAATTTTTTTAAACCCAGTAGTACTTTGCCCTCCCCGGGAAAATATGTCCAGACCACAACCAATTTTATAAAAAATTAACTACTAAAGACAAAATTTTTTCCCAACAGAAAATCTACAACATTACAAGAAAATATCATGACGCGACCATAAAATGCGTCGTGTACAATGACGTCGGTAACAGTGAAGAAATAGAGACGCTTGAAATAACTTGTAAGTTCCACTGAATTATATATTTCTTTTAGAATGTTAAAGGTTGTAGAACATTGATCTTTGCCTTTACTTTAACTATTGTATTATAAGTTATTGATATGTCCTTTAATATAACCTTTATTGACTTATCTTTGGTTGCACCGAAGATCCTCCCTATTTATAGAATTGATTATTCACTATTTAGCTTAATTATTTTGTAAATCCCATATAATTACTTGTCTTAAAAAAACCTAAAACCTTAATACATAATTAAGTGGGTATTACTTAAAAGTAATACCTGATGATGAGTAAAAACTCATCACCATCATCATCAGCCCGTGTTTGTCCACTGCTGGACATAGGCCTGCCCAATGGCACGCCACTAAGCTCGGTCTTGAGCTCTTCCCATGCAACCACCACCAGCTACCTTGCTGAAGGGCACCTTACACTTGAGTATACTACGTTTGTCTAGACGTTTGCGGTCATCACTCTAGAACACGTTTACCCCAACGGTTATCGGTTCTTTGACAAATGTGACCGGCCCACTGCCACTTCAGCTTACTAATTTGCCTTCGGGCTATGTTGGTAACTTCATTTCGGACGTTTTAGTCAAAGAGAGAAAAATTTATTTATATGCACTGTAACACAAGCAATCACGAATAAAAAAATATCATCAATACAGTGCTAAAAATATCACTATGACTGTTTTTGTCATGTTGTTACCAAATCGCCCTTATCCAATGGCGCGATCTGTTCCATTCCACTAATTGGGAAATATCTCGACTTTGTTCATTTAAAAAACTTAATAAGACCCTAATTGCTACATAAATATTAATATTTCAGACCTTGAGATAGCAAAATAAACACATCTATACATTCGTCTAACTTATTCAATTTCTTTTAGATGCCCCAACCTTCAGGAGTCTACCAAAGGACGTGGAAGCAGAAGTAGGAACCACAGTGACCCTCAGTTGTGATGTCGACGGATACCCACCTCCGGAGATCAGGTGGCTACATCATGAAGAGGACCAGATGATTGTAAGTACTCTTTTACTGAATGATTGAAATTGGACTTAAGCGTGGTCAAGTTAGAGAATAGAATTCATCATTATGTACATCATCATGTACCGATGGGCAAGAAAGAAGTCGTCATCTTATTAAATATATATAAAAATATTGTTTATAGTTTTATGGTGGCCCGGTGAAATATTTCCCTTAGGAGTGCGCAATATTTTCCAGAAACATCTATTTTTACCACCGTTCTTCCTGGAAATTATTCAATAACAATAATTGGAATTATTTGGAGTTTTCCAAACAAATAATTATTATTGTTATGACACGCGTAGGATTTATATTATTGTGACGTTACATTACTTGAGTCTAAAAAACATTTGGACAATAATTTTATATGATTCCAATTGCTTTTTATTATTGAGGATATGTTCGAACAAAGACTAAAATAAATTAAGTAAAAACACTTTTGCTTTGAAAAGCTATATATCCATCCATGGTGATGATTGAATTGTATATCACATCTTGGATACCATAGGTTGCTTATGGGCAGGCGTGCTCCATCATGCACCACTAGGCGAAAAATCGAGCAAGCGCCTACCCAATACCAATAAAAGAGAAAAGAATTTAATCTCCAATAGACTAGCCTAGTTTTTGTGCTATATTTATAGTACATACATAATTTGTGTGGAAGAGCCATATTTCGGCACGAATAGGCCGGCTCGATCGGAGTGATACCACTGTCTTACAGAAAACAGACGTGGAACAACGCTTGCGTTGTGTATCGTCGTGTGAGAGAGGTTACCAGAGGCCCAATTTACCCCTTCTCCAGTCTCCCCGATCCCCGAATCCCCCACAATCTTCAAATTCCTAATTCCCAATAGGCCGGTAACGCACTTGTAATGCCTTGGTGTTTCGGGTGTCCATGGGCGACGCCGATTGCTTACCATCAGGTGATCCGTCTGCCCGTTCACCAGCTTATCTTAGATATGAATAATTTAAATGATCTTAAATATGAATTCATTCTATAAAATAGACGAGACAGCTTATAAACGATCTCTTCTTTATACATCTAAGCCTGCTAAATATTTTTAAAAACAATACAACGAATCAACACAAGAATTTCCAATTAGAAGCGAAACAAATGATTAATACAAGCAACGGTTGGACACCGTGTAAGTTTGTTCGTCACGATAAATTTTTGTAATACATACTTCATTGGATGCTGTGAAATTGATGACTTGTGTCCATTGTACACAGAGGAACAAGTTAAGGTATACATAACCACTTTATTATGGTCTCGCTTTCGATGATCTGTTCGCACATTTGACGGTTTGTTTATACTGGTTGTTATAACTTGATGTGTCCACAGTTTTTTACCTTACTTTTACCGTTAGCTCGAGGTTTGGTATTTAGGTTTTTGATTATAAGTGTCTAAGTTTTTTCTTATAAATCTGTTGCTATCATTTACCTAAAGTATGGGTCAAAAGTCGCGAATAAGATTTCGTTTTGTTAAATTTCTATTCCGTTGTGATTTCTTACTGATGTCACTAGCAAAGAATGAACAGCAAAACGTCTCGTTTCTTCAAAAACACTATATTTTCTTCAAGACATATAACGTGGTGAATAGGTTTCTTAAGGGTCGGCAAGACGCATGTAATGCCCCAAGTGTTGTAAGCGTACACACGGTAACCGCTTACCATCAGATGGGCCGTGTGGCTTTTTGCCATCGTCGTGGTATAAAAAAAATAAATAACAATAAATTTTTGTGTTTCACATTGACATTCACCTCATCAAAACTAATTGTATTAATTTCTATGTCTATCCTTTAAAAATATGTGTCCAAGTTAATGAAAGTCGGTTCAGAGGTTATGGTATTAAACCGATATAAATCAATAGACACACTATCGCAGTTATAGTACTGGATAATAGTAACAATATGATAACAATACTAGCCAAACATAACATAATATCACGCCTTTTATCCCCATAGGCAGAGGCGCACATTACGTCACTGAGGTAACACCCACTTTTCACTATTTATGTTATGAGTCACATCTAATGGACCAGCCTATTGCTAAATACCTGGCACAATTCCAGACCCCGTGCTACCACTGTGATTAAAAAAAAACTCAGTATTAATTTGCCCGACCCCCGAGACCCCCGCGGCCACTCGGCCAACGAAGTAGTCTACTAGACAAAGTATTGGATAATAATAACAATATGATAACAATACCAGCTAAAACTACAGAAACAAGATACTACGAATCTACTAAAGCATGAAATAAAATGCGTAACTAATTACATATTTTTAAAACATCGGTTACAAAACAAGTTTTTTAGGCATTCAATTCTTAGTTTGAAACAAATGTCAATCCCAGTGTCGCCCTCTAGGCATGTTATAATTTGACATATTTAAACTTAACGAGACAGCGTCCATCTTTCTTTGAAGCTGTAGGATGATGTGTCACGCCCACTTTGACAAGGAGTTATTTCGATAAGTTCTTCAAAAGTGTGTGGACCAAAATTATATCTGATTGTCCATGATGACGATTCTACAAATAAATAAATTATAATTTAACGATTTGTACTAGGATTATTTACCTATCGAGTTATTGTAAGCATAATTACCGAAAGTTTAATTTTACTAATTAGTTTTTTGGACTTGAGTGTAGTATAGAATGACCTATAAACTAAAAATATTAGGTACGGTGTGCAGTGACTGATTTTAATATATCTTAGTGGCGTAGGTAGTACTGGAGAGTTCTATGTCCATATGTAGACGGAAATGGGTTAAATTACTTAGCTTAGGTCGGTTTGGTCTTTCTTTTTATAAAATAAGCCGATAAACAAGCATAAGGACCACCTTATGGTAAAAAATCGACGCCGCCTATAGACGCCTGAAAGACCAGAGGTGTTACAAGTGAGTAACCGGACTTTTGAGAATTAGGAATTAGAGGATTATTGAGGTTTCAGGGATTGGGGAGGTTGGAAAGGGGGGTAATTGAGCCTCTGGTTAAGCGACAAAACACAACGCAAGCGTTGTTTCACGTCGGTTTTCTGCGAGGCCGTAATATCACTCCAAGCCAACGTAATATCAGTCCAAGTCTATTCGTGCTGAAGCATACCTCTCCCATACTTGAGTGATGCCAAGAAAGGTCTTTGAAGCGCCGAAGTTCCAAAAATGATCACTCGATCAGCAAACGAGATACATAATAGTTTAGTAACAAAAACATCTACAACAAAACCAATTACATCTCCAATATAATACAGAACTACACAAGTATCAATAGCTAACTCTTAATTGTTTGGCTCTCCCAGTAGTTATGTTATTTGTCTTATTTACTTCGTATGAATTTCGCCAAATAAGAATTGCGTTTTCCGTCAGCTTTCTGTTCGTAAAGAATTGTAATAACATTCTTGGATATTTGCTTACATTTTTTATTAATCTTTATATACAATTATGAAATTTGGATTGTTGTAGTGACATAATTACAATAGTTGGACATATGCTACCGCGGAGTTTTTGTAGACATTATAAATGTTCTTCAATATTGTACATTATTTTGTTCTATCGCTAATAGTTACGGCTGCGCATTCGACGACAGACATTTTAAGACTCATCTTTCTTCGGTTACATTCATCATTGTTTTAGTGCTCCATCAAACGTCGGCCCATCAAATTTATAAAAAATATATTTATTACAACACTAAGTCCAACACTATGTTGAAACAATACCTCGCCACTTGAGGACCGTGGGCGTCGAATATGGCTGCCTTATTACGCACACTCATATCTTAAAAAGTATTTGTTCTACTCAACAAGACCTGAGATAGCTGTATTTGTAGTACAATACATAGTTTCTTTTGTTTTGTCTTGACTTGTAATGGTTTTATTATTTATATTACTGTTTTATTTGAGTTTCTTTCTCATACTACTTTTGTTTCAAATTTGGTGTTATAATAACCTCTATTTTTTGGATAGGTTATATTATGTATGTAGAAGGAACGATTTTCAGAAGCGGAAGAAGGAAAAGTAGAGTATATATGTCATCTCCATTCTCCTCCCTTCTCTCTCTATTGATGGGTGTCGTCAGAGGTGATTAAGAGACAGAGCTAGACGTAGGACCAGATAGCTGTTCTTTCTGACAGTTTCTGATCAAGTAGAACGCAACTTCTAACAAACCAGATTTCTGGCAAACTTCTTTGCGAGACTCTATATTTCCTGAAGAGCATATATATTTAACATGGGTGTCTTCAAGGCCCGAGTGAATAGGTTGCTTAAGGGACGATGTGCTCCATCGTAGGCCGCATCATCGCTTACCACCAGGCGAGATAATGGTCAAATGTCAACCTATCAAATATAAAGCAAAAAACCACTTAGAGGAAAAATTATGGCGAACCTTTTGTAAAGAAGGTTCACAGTCAGTCAGTTGTCTGTCTCGAGTTAGAATGACGATGAGCACAAAGATGTTTTTTTTATTTTTTTATAATAATATTAATAACCCATTTTTGTCAACAGAGAGTGGGCAGAACAGCCAACCTGACTCTGACACTGGACACCCATACCTCAGGGCGATACCTGTGCAAGGCAAGCGTGGATAGCTACCCTGAAATAGAGGCTGAAGCTTCAGTTTTTATTAAAGGTAAGTTGGTATTATTTTTTTTGACTTAAATAATGTGATATGATAAATTTTTTACGAATTACCTTTAACATGAAAATATAACCATTTAGACAATAACAACACTAGCCATGAGTAGATGGCAGTGAGATCGATTTCAATTTTAAACTCATTGTTGTACTAAACATTTCAAAAAATCACAGAGGCCAAATAAGATCACTCTTTGATCTGAGAGTCGAATTCGCATAGTCTTTTAAACTGTCAAACACCGTTGGGACACCGGTGACCGCAACCTATTGTTTTTTAATTGTGTCTATAATTACGGTACTCAAAGGGTTAATGACCATTCCTATGACAAAATCACATTTTAATTTTACTCAAAACACCTAATCACCTACTAAGTACAGAACTAAAGTAACCTCGAACTCAATACTTCAACAAAGCAGTCGTAATATTAACCCATTTCCAATTCAAGGTCCCAATGAAAGTTTCTAGTTATTCCATTAAAGCCACTTTATTCGAGAATATGCGATTCATTTGAATCGAATCGCTATTTACTAGTCACTCGGTCATCATGGTGAAACATAAGCTTACTGAGAATGCTTGTACCTGGTAATAATGTAATTAGAGGAATTAGAACAGTTGGAATCTAAAGAGTTATTTGAAGCAAGGTTGTGCGTTGGGTGGGCAACCGGTTGCCACTCAACTTGTAGCGAGTGCGATTCCTGCACGGAAAAGAAAGAAACAATAGAAGAAAAAACTCTATTTCACGCTAAAAAACAAATGACACGTACAGATGTCTGTCTATCTCCATTGATGGAGACATAGGTATTTAACATGGTGATCCACAAATTGTTGTTACGGTTCTGGGTGTCATGTATATGTGAAATTGTATGTTTGTAAGCGCACCCACGACACAGGAGAATATCCTAGTATGGGGCAACATTTAAAAAAAAATCACTGACCTATGTCAGTTCTATACCAGAACTATGAATGTTCTCCGTGCCGCAAGCCGTGCTCCATAGTTGGCTACATCAACGCTTGTTATGTGTCGAAATAGCGACTGAAGTATGAATTATAAAACAGTCAGTGGGTATTATTTATGAGACGTACGTATTACGTGGATTCGACTTCACACAATCTAGAATCGTGCTTGTTGATTGACTAGTGGTAGACGTAAAATAAGAAATTATAGGTAACCAATAATAAGTCGTACTGGAAGATTTCTACAAACTAAGTCTTCAGTGAAAAACTGGCTAAATACTAAGTATTTTATACGCAATCAAATTACAATAAAAACGAAAACAACTTGACCTACAAACATTCTCAGTACCACCTTGATTATCGTACTAATTTTATTCCAAAAAAAAACTATAGGAATTCCTACAAACAGCTATTTAATTTTTCCTACAATTGTACAATTGGATGATTCCACAGAACTTTCTGTTCTGTGGAACGAAACGGTTTCTTTCATGAAATATATATGTTGTTGCCTGTAGGCGTGTACGCTGAAAAGCTCGTTCTAAGAGCCCTACCATGATGTTTCATGATTAATTATTTTATAAAGGTATCGCAAATTGTATGAGATCAAAGCTACTAATGTAATTAGGTATTTTGTATATCTTTTTACATCCAATGGTTATTAGTTAATTAGAAAAGATTTTTTTATTGAAAGGCACTACTTTATACTTAATCGTCTATTCATATGAGCATTTAATTCATTTTTTAATTTTCTTTATATTTGTGTAGGTTGATAAAAATGTAGGTGACATTAAACAGATATTTTTTACGTTTTTTTTTTTAAAGGTATTAGGGACATTATTGAGTTCGTATTTGACTTTGAATTTTTGTGGTATCTATGTACCATTTATTATAAGCATAACTTTAGAATTATACTCACTATAGATCTGTCTATACTACTATAAACATTATTTCTATCAATGATATTTTAGTAAAATTTCTATCAATTTCTTGTTTTTAATGAAATACACTAAACACTTGGTGGTGGTGACAACCAATTTCGTTAAGATTACATACTAAAATATTACTCTATTATCTAGCCATTCCATTCAAATTTTACGCAAAAAATATCAAAAATTAGCTTAGGTAGAAGAAATTATTATTTCTTACTTCACTATAATGAAATAATAACCTTATAAAAGAATCACTAGGAAAATTGTTGTTAAGTAAAATTCATCATCATCATCAACAGTACCCACTGCTGAGCAAAGCCTCTTCTCACACGGAGGTTTAACCATTAATCACCACGCTTGTTCAATGCGGGTTGGCGATTTCAAACTTATAATTAGAAATTATAAGCCCAGGTCACGATGTTTTCCTTCACCGTTTGTCAGTGGTGTCTGAATAATCTTAGAAAGTACATATAACTTGGAAAAAGTCACATTGGTTCTTGCCGTTGGTAGGTTTCGATCCGCATTCTCATGCATAAAGCGGGCATCATAAACCACCGGGCTACCACGACATATTAAAATGTAATTCTGTAATTAGTTTAAAGTAATGAGATTAGAATTACATACAACCCCACACGCTCAACTATATTAAAATTCAAAACTTCAAATTCAATTTAGCAAATACACTTCTTATAACAAATGCCTAAATCTCATTTTAGATTAAATTAATTAAATTAAATACGTACAATTATCTAATTACTTTTGCCTAGGCTGAAATTCTTGATGGAATATTAAATAGTTTCGGCTTTTGTCTAGGTTCAAAGTCTAATGAATCATTAAAACGGTTTTATTAGCAACTAGTTGTTGCCCGCGACTTCGTCCGCGTAGAATATGAATTATAGAGGATAACTTTTTTGTCTCAATTTTACAAAATAAAAGTAATCTATATCTTAAGTTTTTATCTTTTAGTTATAGTGTATCTTAAGTTGCATATATTTATTAATTTTTTCATTTAAATTACAATCTATCTATAGAAAAATGAAACCCGTTTCCCGTTGCCATGCCATAACTTGAAAACGGCTAGACCGATTTGGCTGATCTTTTTTTTGTTATGTTTGTTATTGTCAGAAGGAGGTTCTTACGACAGAAAAAATCCTTAAAATCCTACGGGAACGGTAGGGAAGTCGCGGGCAGAAGCTAGTTTATAATAAAAATGTAGCCTATGTTACTTAGTACATCAGCTACCTGTCAATAAAAGTCTTGCAAAATCGGTACAGCCGTTTCAGAGATTAACCAGTACAAACAGACAGACAGACAGACAAAAATTTAAAAACAAGCAATTTCGGTATATGTATCGTAAGTATGTACTATATATGCATGTAGTATAAAGCGGTTATTTTAATAAAACAAATAGACACTTCAATTTTATTTATCTGTATAGATTGGTACTAGAGCTTGTAAAACTAGTGCCTGTGTTAAAATTATCTAGATTAAATTAGGTTTCAAATTAATTGGAGTCGGAATGTTTATTTGATACAAATTGTTGTAATTATGTGAATTCGTTTTGTGTTGATATTGTATAAGATAACTTGTAGAGTGTCTATTTAAACATAACATAATATCACGCCTTTATATCCCCGAAGGGTAGGCAGAGGTGCACACAGAAGTATCACCCACTTTTCACTATTTATGTTATGAGTCCTATGTAATAGGAGGTGAGCCTATTGCCATATACCGCGCACATTTCCAAACTCCGTGCTACTACTGAGATTTTTTTTAAAAACCCAGTAATACTTTGTCCTACCCGGGAATTGAACCCGAGACCCCTTGCCCAGTAGTCGCACTTGCGACCACTGGGCCAACGAGGCAGTGAAAACTTTAAAATCATAACTTAAACGGCTAAATCGATGAACTTATTAAAAGAATAGCAAAAAAACACACACACACACACAGATTTACAACCTACCCAAGATCACAACAAAAATTATTTCAAGTCGACTGAATCCCTAATATTTAGTTAGACAATACTTCATAGTCATGACGGGAGTAGCAGAGAAAGAATGAAGCAAGCGTTGTGGAAACGAGCTAGCAAAATAACTATATGAACGTTTTCATTCACCTTTTTCAAAGCAGTACTGCCTGGTAGATTATACATATACCTAGGTCCAGACTAAGGTAACAGCCGTACTAATGAAACTAGATTGCTTTTATAGTAACTATCGTGATAAAAGGCGTGATGTTATGTTATATTTAAAGATTTGTGTTCGATATGGGACGAAATATTAAAAATAAACAGTAAAATACTACAGGACATGATATTTTCATTATGCTGCACGGTTGGTGCGGTGGCTGGGCAACCGGCTACCGTGCAACGTGTCGCGGGTTCGATTCCCGCAAGGAACAATACTTTGTGTGATCCACAAATTGTTGTTTCGGGTCTGGGTGTCATGTGTATGTGAACTTATATGTTTGTAAACGCACCCACGACACAGGAGACAATCCTAGTGTTTTAAAAAGAAAAAACAAATTATAAACAAAACAGTATTATAAAAGAAACATTTGACATAATGAATTCATAACAAGATTAATAACAATGATGACTTTTTATTTTCTTAAAGAGAACCATTAGATTAATGAACTCCCAGACATATACATAATAAATATAGTCCATCAACTTAATGACCCAAAGTAAATAAGAGTCCATTTAATTATAAGTCTTAATATGAATAAGTTAGCGTTCAAAGTACAATGGTAAACGAACAAAGGCAGAATTTCGAAGTCATACAGTTGAGTTCATACCTAGAATAATTTGTAATTTTAATCACAATTTGTAAGTGGGCCAGTTCTAACTAGGTTAGTCACAAAAGGGTTGATTTCTAAACCTAAAACATTCGTTGTTCCCATTCAATTTAAACTTTGTTGTAATGTGAATTAGGTAGGTATTTCAATGACTCAATCCTCGGCTAATTACATAGTAACATTGGTGGGTATATTTTGGTTATGTTTTTGTCTTCTTCTTTCACATAGTATTTTGGATTTGAAAGAAAGGGATGGGGTGCTATAGAGCTAGAACATTTAATAAACATTGGTTCGTTTATCTATTGATCAGAATATTAGCGTAAAGGCGTGAATTTATAATAAGTCCTGAATATATTGTAAATCCACAAATTGTTGTTATTATGATTTGATGTGAAACAAGTAATTGTACCGAAAAGCAATTGCCTCTACCCCTTTTTTAAGACATAAGCCGGTAAACGAGCAGACGGATCACCTGATGGTAAGCAGTCGGCGCCACCTATGGACATCCGGAACATTAGAGGAGTTAAAAATTTTACCGGTCTTTTGGAGATTAGGAATTTAAAGATTGTTAAGGATTCAGGGACTGGTGAAAATGGGGAATGGGATAATTAGGCCTCCGGTAAACTCAATCACACGGCGAAACACAACACATATGTTTCAAGTCAGTTTTCTGTGAGGCCGTGGTATCACTCCATTAGAGCCGGCCCATTCGTGCCGAAGCATGGTTCTCCTACACTACTGTCTATGTCGTTTTGGCTAATTAAAACCTTATTTCCAGGTCCTCCGAAGATAATATCAAATCAGACTCAGTTTGGTTCTCAAGGCGACACAGTGAATATTGAATGTGCAGCGTTCGCGGTGCCCAGGATAGACAACATAATCTGGACGTTTGATGGAAAAGAAATCGACTCCATACATGATCAGGTAAACATATTATTTATACATACTGTATAACAATTTGGAGTTATTAATGATATAATTATTACGTGTAATAGGGTAGATGCCTAATTTTTATTTTATTGTCCGTCTGGTAAATTATTTAAAATTATTAGATACGTGTTTTTTAATTTCTCACAGAAACTAATACTTTCGACGATATATTGATTTGAAGTGTCGCGTTACGTGACTTTGTGACGTTTTAGCCCCCACTCCTAAACTTTGATTCGTTTTGTCTAAGTATTGTTTTATTATACGACACAATAAAAAAAAACAAATTGGATTAGTTAGATAGAAATATCATTTATTATCTGTGTTGACAAAAAAATATCCAAAATAATCTATTTTCGGACTGTGATTTTATGTTAAGGTATTTTTATTTATTATTTTTAACAAATACTGAAAATAATTAAAAACCTTTTCATATTCTACCACCAAACTCGTTCATACAAAAGTAGTCTTTAAATAATACGAATAAGGTATATAATAGAGGTGGGTGGAAGAGGACACGGTGTCCTCTTAGCTATTTAGAATGTTCTTAAACGAAGGCACGACTTTTTAAGAGTAAAAAATCGTATTATAGTAACTGTCAATCAAACCTAAAAAAACAAGATAACTACCAATAAATACCCCTTCAATCAAAAATTCATCACTCATTAAATATTATATCACTTCGCAATAAACATTATAATTATTGATCTCAAAATTTCATATCATTGTACAGAATTGATTTTTGTTATAATGATGAAAGGTGTCTCGTCGCTGGCGAATAAAACTTGTTATTATATAATGCTATACCCCAATTACAATTTATGAAACTGTGTTATTTAGTACTGTCATTATTTTGAAGGTCGAAATTGAAGTAATTGGCACAGAATTTGTATTAATTTTAAAGGTTTTAGTGTTCGATTTCACTGTGGACCTTAAGATCTGTAGCTATTAGGTCTAAAATTGTTTTTAAACGTAAAGAACGAAAATGAAATCCTAAGTTACTTATTTTTCTAAAGTAACTTATTTTGTTTACAACTTAGTCTGTATTTTAATGTATCGTTAACATTAAAATACTCAGTAACGGGTATTCCAATATTAGTGTTATAACTAACGCTACTTATTTTCAAACACCATGTTAACCCCTCGAGCGTTCTTATGAGCACCCGGTGGATCATAAGAAAAAATGCTCCATGCTGCTTTCTCTTTTATAAAATCTATTATTAATGTTTTGTTTTTATTTTGACTGTATTTTTTATTTATATTGTAATGATCCTTGTTTTTGTGTGCCAATGGCCAGATAAATGCATTTTCTTTCTTTCTCCAAATGTCACGTGTGCACCCGTTGGATGATAAGGAACGCGGACGCTCCACGGGTTAAATATCTATCTAATTATAAGTAAAATGTTACATCTTTGCAAATAATATTTGTTTCACATTATGTTTCTGCTGCTTTAAAATAAGAACTTTTGTGTTACTGCCTCGTTGGTCGAGTGATTGCAAGTGCAACTGCCGGGCAAGGGGGTTCTGGTTCGATACCAGGATCGGGCAAAGTACTACTGGGTTTTTAGAAAAAAATCAGCGGTAGCACGGAGTCCAGCACTGTGCCCGGTATATGACATTATGGCATTATACTCACCCCCCTATTACATGGGACACATAACATAAATAGTGAAAAGTGGGTGTTACATCGTACAGTGGAATTAAGTGTCGTAATGTGCACCTCAGCCTACCTCTTCGAGAATAAAAGGCGTGATGTTATATTATGTTACGTCTTTTGTGTTAATTAATAATAATTATTCATTTTCTTTGGCACAGGACTACGCATTTTTAGAAGAATTACAATCAGGAGGTGTTGTGAACTCGACGCTGATCATAAGAGATAGTCAGTCCAAACATTTTGGTGTCTACAAATGTAATGTCTCTAATGACTACGGGAGTGACACCATGGAAATTATATTGAGACCTAACAGTAAGTATTTCTTGAGTTAACGTTAATTTTCAAAGTCAAAGTCAAAGCATTTATTTCAATTAATCCTTAATTAAGCACTTTCGAAACTCAAAAATTTGAATTGTCCGTCTGTCTGTCTATCGGTAAGCTAGACGCTTTTATCATAAATGTATTTTTAATTTTGTTTTTTCTTATCATACCGTATTGGTGAGACAATGTTGACATATCAAAAATAACTTAGTTATTTATTTCGTAACGTAATTGTCTTCGGAATTACTGTATTTTTACTTTAGTGTTTTGTTTTTTAAGGGAGGAAAATCACTTTAGTGGTGCTACGAAGCTAATGGTGTTAGATTCGTATACCGATGAGAATATTTTCTATTTTTTCTTGATGTTTTAATTTGAGTTTTTCCATTGGTTCAAACTGCTTCGTTGGCTGAGTGGTCGCAAGTGTGACTGCTGGGTAAGGGGTCTCGGGTTAGATTCCCGGGTCGGGCAAAGTATTACTGGTTCTTTTATTAAATTCTCAGAAGTAGCACAGAGTCTGGAATTCTGCCCGGTATATGGCAATAGGCTCACCCTCTATGACATGGGACTAATAACATAAATAGTGAAAAGTGGGTGTTACATTTATACAGAGGCATTAAGTGCCGTCATTAAGATTTTTCACCTCTTCTTACATCTTCGTGTAATGAAGATTTTTCAATTGGTGTTTCTGTCTTGTTCAAAGATTTTTTCGAAAAAAAACTTCGCCATAAAAAAGTAATATTAAAGAGTAAGAAAATCTTATTTCTATTTGGTCTTAAAACATGATGGGTTCCGTCATTAGAAGCATTGTTTTTTATTAACTATTTTATGTTAGATTCTTTACGACTTGCGCGTTTACGAGGTTTCCTTCCGAAGAAATTGAAAGCGAAGATAATCTTCCGTTTGATGGACCTTTAAAGACCTTGTAATATTATGCTGAGAGAAATTACTTTATATAGTTATTTGTTGAAGATTATATTTTTTGGCGAAGCTTGATTAAATATGGATGCGGTTTTAGTGTTTGCTTAGTTTATTTTGTACTAGCGACCTGCCCCGGCTTAATATGCCTGTAATATACATATAAACTTTCGTTTAGAATCACTTTACCCATTAAAAAAAACCGTATCAAAACCCGTTGCGTAGTTTTAAAGATCTAAGCACACATAGGGACATACAGACGGAGGATAGCGACTTTGTTTTATACTATGTAGAGAGATAAACACGACTGAAAAACTCTGGTTCTTATCTAGCTTTGTGAAAATTAATATTTTTTGAATCTATCAATAGATGTATAGGAGCTGTTATTTGTACCGAATGTCAAAGTCAAAGTCAAGTATAGTCAGTTATAGTCATTTGCTTGTATTTAGAATTTAAAATACCATTAACGATACAGTTTGAACAGTAAAAAACAACATACATTAATAACTGGGACATTAGGTATAGAAATGTACTGACTTTTTTCTATACTCAATTCAAATAAAGTAAACACATAGTAATTTGCTCACCCAAAACATTCAACCAATACATATTTGTGTTCATTCAAAAGCTTAGTTTGAAAGAACATTACTATAATTCTCCCATATGACAGAGCCGCCATTACATTTTCAACGGCCGCGCATCATCGTGAATGTATCGCCATTTTGACTTTATAACCCTCACATAACAATTCCCCATCAATCGCCAATCTTTTTGCAAAATCCTTGAGGTATTTTCCAAAAAAGTCTTCACGCAGGATTGGGTTTAGGTCGTCGTTGATCGAGGGTCTGGAACAACAATTTTATTTAGGGCTTGGCAAAGAAAATAACGTCATAGTAGACTGATATTTTGAAATGTTTTCCAAAGATCCAATCTACTTTTCGGTCGGATCAGTTACGTCACAACATTTAAAATTAATGACCGAAGCAGGCTCATATTAATTTTATGGAGGAAAGTTTTGAAAATAGTTCTTATTTGGTAGTTAATGCTGTTTAAAAAAACATTACTTCTTGTTTTTCCTCTCTCAAAATATAAGGTCAGATCATAATTCGAGTCTTTGGGTCGTGTTGATGGCTAAGCATTAGTTTTTTTTATCTTAAGCATCCTCAAAACTTTTTACATTTCAGTCTGACATGACAACGAGACCCACTTTAAAAGCATCTTTTTGTTCTAGAAACATTCCCACTACTCTTAATCCTATTTGGAGTGACATCAGGCACAATAATGGTAGCAGCAGTGACAATGCTAGTAATACTATGTCAAAGAAAGCAGAGAAAGAACAAACAGACACAGGTGACTGAAAAACCTGACGTCACAGTAACAGCTGAAGAGCTGTACAAGGAAAACGACAGGAATTCTAATATAAGTGATTTGAAACTTGAACTGAGGCAGGCTAATGGCAGCTGTGAAATTGTAAGTATGAATTTTGATGACAATTATTCAGCATAGTGCATTATTGAAAGAGATGTTTTTGGTAGGGTGGAGTAAGATGTGGCTAGTAATAAGTCGGTTGTTAAGGTAAGGCCTTTTAGACATGCTTTAACAAAATAGCATGCTAAAAGGCATTCTATAGATCGTGCTTCTATAGATTCCCAAGCATGCCCAAAATGAGCATGCTCATTTCGAGCAACATTCCGACACACATGCTACTAAGTGACAAGTGCTCAATTGAAGCATATTTTCGTGCTTGAAATCAGCATGACGTAACACTACGTTAAGTGTAATGTTAAGTTTCGAGTCTGTTTTTAAATAATGTTGAATTGAATTATTGGTAATAATGACTAAGGTAGAATTAGAGAATCAAACTAAAATAAACTCCAAGTAGATTTGAGCTAGAAGTCTTAACCAAATATCGCTGAACATCAGAATAATCAATTAAAACAATTTGCTTCGAGAATAACGATTTTACTCTAAAGATATTTACCAATCTCAATGCTGAACAAAGTCATAACATTAAGTGTATACCTTTGAATATTGATGAACATAATCTTGGAGCTAAACTGATATCGCTAGAAAGAGACAACAACACAGATAGTGAAGCTTAAGCGATTGTAACAACATTTAATAGCTTCAATGAATGATCAAATTTCTCACCGGCTGAAGTTGTAATGGTTGGAAATTGAGAACATTTTGCTCAACGAGAAGGGAGATAATCCATAGTAATAATATAAATGTAAGAGTGTGTGTATCTGTTCATCTGTCCGTCTTGCACGACAAAACGGAGCGACGAATTGTCGTGATTTTTTAAGTACAGATAGTTGAAGAGATGGAGAGTAACATAAGCTACTTTTGACCCTCTCAATGTTCTAAAATGGGAGGTAGAAGTTTCGATGAAATATTATTAAATTTCATGGTACATAACTTGTAATTTTTATATCATGTTTTTTGTAAATCGGTCCCCAAACCCTTGAAATAGCGCAAGTGAAGCCGTGAGCAAAGGCTATTATGAAATAAATTGTGTTGATCCATCGATTGCTGTGTGGTTATATGATATTAGATCATTAATATTTGGCTCTTGATGATACATGTAACCTCTTTGCTATGCGGCGGCTTTGCTACACTTAACTATGGTTAAATGATGATATGTTGTCAATTATTGTGTGCACCTCCATTATAAGTGTCTGATGAATCAATCTGTTAAATTATCTAGTAGGTATAATGAGTTTGGGATATTAACAACCAGTTGAAGCTTGCGGTATCTCTTGCATCTTCATTTTATTTTGTAATTCTAATTCGCTCCTTTTCATTTTATAGCTTACAAGTTTTATTATTGCAAAAGTATCATCTTACCTGTCTCATTGACCGAGACAACATTTACAATTGCTTTTTCAAAGTGACTACATCGTTGGCCGAGTGGTTGCAAGTGCGACTGCCGGGCAAGGGTTCTCGGGTTCGATTCCCGTGTCCGGCAAAGGCATTTAAAAAAAATCTCAGTAGTATCACGGAGTCTGGGATTGTGCACGGCATATGTCAATAGGCTCATCCTCTATTACATGGGACTCATAACATAAATAGTGAAAAGTGGATGTCATATTGTTCACATTGTCAGTATTAAAATGATCAATGAATCATTATTGGACATTATTTTGGTGCTGCTTTTTTATTGGATTTATTATACTAAAAAAAATTAAAGAAGTTACTAGATAATAGTATATCAGATTTACTATTGACTTAAAATACTTATTTTTCTTACTACTTTTTTCTTGAATGTTTTATAAACTCCTATAGGTATAACAATCGTTACGGATCACCTCTATCGGGTTGTGGTATTGTGTAAATGATTGTCGTCCCATGTCAAAAGTGACGTTCAGCCGAATTTGGTTAAGACTCGACCAACATCTTGTTGGAATAAAGTTTGAAGCATTCCCTATTTTTTATTCGGTTTGGATTTTTTTGACACAATACCTTGTTGTGTCATTGATGCTTGATTGACTGGTGAACTCAGTGTTTGTTTGTATTGAAGTAAAATGTTAACATTCTCAGTATTATTTTAGTTTGTCTGAGTAATTTACGGCTACACATACAGTTAAGCAATGACTTTAATCTGACATTATTTTTGTGCCCTGCCTTTTTATTACCGCCTCGTTGGCCGAGTGAAACGCCGGGCAAAGGGTCTCGGGTTCGATTTCCGGGTCGGGCAAAGTATTACTGGGTTTTAGAAAAAAAATCTCAGTAGTAGCACGAAGTCTGGAAATGTGCCCGGTATATGGCAATAGGCTCACCCCCTATTACATGGGACTCATAACATAAATAGTGAAAAGTGGGTGTTACATTGTACAGTGGCATAATGTGAACCTCTGCCTACCCCTTCGGGGATAAAAGGTGTGATGTTATGTTATTATATTTTTGTGCCGACGGAATGCGTAGACAGTCGATCTGTTATCATTCTACTGAAAACATGTACATTGTGTTAATTAAATAACATCGTATAATCGGCATTTCATTGAAAAGCACCCGAGTCCCCAAAGTGTCCCCGTCGTGATCCTGCAGTACTACAGTATCTGTCCGTCGAGCAGACGAGAATCGACCGTCTACTCTAGATTAATATCTATTAAACGATGCGACAATTGTTACCAAAACCGGAGATGTGACTCAGGCACAATTAAAAAAATTAACCCTAAGACCTGAGACTTCTTAAAGGTTCACTAAGGCTCTTAAATAGAAAGATATTCCCTATATACATTATAGCTAAGATTACTATGATACATTTTACAAAGGAATCCTTTACTGTATTAACTTTGTCATAACATTATTCAAGCGACATCCATAATTCCACATCAACTCCATCTTTAACAACTGCAAAATTATCAAACAAATCAGAATCCTCTCCACCATAAATCTATCAATACATTTTTTTTCTAGGATTACTCAAACACTGGATCAGACAGCACATTATGTTCCAACGCTAAACTTGGTAGCGGTATTCCGCTCGCAGGGACAGTGCCTCTATCGTCCATAAACCAACAGAACACATACCAACCATATAGATACAGCAACGACTATACGGATCCCGCGTACGCTGATTGTTATAAGGTAATGGAATTTGTAATACATCTATCAATATTCTAGTCCATATCTTGTGTAATCTTGGGACTAAGGTTGATGGTAATGCAGCGATTGGTAATTTGTGTTTTTGCTTTTTATTTGTTTCTTTTTTTATGGCATAAGCCGGTAGACGAGCAGACGGATCACTTGATGGTAAGCAATCGGCGTCGCCCATGGACACCTAAAACACTAGAAGCGTTACAAGTGCGTTACCGGCCTTTTGTGGATTAGGAGTTTAAGGATCGTTGGGGATTAAAGGAATTGGGGAGATTGGGGAAGAGGAGGGTAATTGGGCCTCCGGTAACTCACACGACGAAACACAACGCAAGCGTTGCTTCACGTCGGTTTTCTGAGAGGCCGTGGTATCACTCCAGTCAAGCCGGCCCATTTGCGGAAGCATGGCTCTCCCACACTTAGTTTTTAGTTAGTACGTATACTCGTACGTATACTCGTACGTATATTTTTATAGATTTTTTATCTTATAGTAGTGCTAAATTTGGAAGCTTGGTCGCTTTTCTAAGTCTTATGTGGATATAAGTATGGGAATCGACAGCACAAACATTTCACTTATCATTTGCCAAAAAATCTTGTGTCCAAAAATTCTACTAATATTTTATGGTGTATGGGATAGTTTATATATGTTTGTTTGTTACTTTATTACTCACTGACTTCAAAAAAGCGGATGAAAGGAACAGAGTGGGCAACCTCTATACTACGGGAACGCGGATGAAGTCGTTAGCAGAAGCTAATCATAATTATTTTGTAGTTCTTACTAGAACAATTGAAATCGCCAACCCGCATTGAGCAAGCGTGGTGATTAATGCTCTAACCTTCTCTATGTGAGAAGAGGCTTTGCTCAGCAGTGGGCATTTATAGGCTGTCGATGACTAGAACGATTGCCACTTAAAACAAAATATTGGTTTTCGTATTCCATAACAAACTTCTCAGTAAACATAGAAACTGGAGTTCTGCAACTCATTTTAATAATGTTTTTAGGTGAACGGCTTTAACAATGGTTACCAAACGTACGTGCATTATGGTCACGACTATACTCCTGGATCTTTGAGGGTTCAGTCACCTACAATGAGCAGTGAGAAGTTGACTCCTAACAGGTAAGTTGTTATTTGCTAAGACTAAGATTAAGCTTTTATTTAACCCTTTGAGTACCGTCATTACAGACACAATTAAAGAACAATAGGTTGCGGTCACCGGCGTCCTCGCGGTGTTTGACAGTTTAATATCAAGAGTTGATGTTCTGTTTTATTCAAAAAGAGTTCATTTGGCAATTTAAACTTTAAAGGTACTCAGACATATGTTCTAAAATAGCATGCTAGAAGGCGTTCTATTAAACATGCTCAAAAATGTTCAATAAACGAACGCCTGTCGATTCAAAAACATGCCTGAAATGAATATGCTAATTTTGTGCAACATTCCGACACACTTGCTACTAACTAAGTACTTGCCAGAGTCAGCATTTCCTGAAGGGTAGTATAAACTGGGTGTCTTCAAGGCCCGATTGAATAGGTTGCTTATGGGTCGACGTGCTCCATCGTAGGCCACATCATCGCTTACAACCAGGCGAGATAGTGGTCAAACGTCAGTACCATATAATATAAAAAAGTGACACTCATCATCACTCACACGACAAAACACAACGCAAGTGTTATTTCACGTCGGTTTTCTCTTAGGCCGTGGTATCACTTCGATCGAGCCGGCCCATATGCCGCAAGCATGGCTCTCCTACCCTTAATGAGATGCCTGATAGTAATATAGGTATATGAGTTTTATTTATTCCATGTTCTGTCACACCAGGTCAGTCAACGGTAGCCTACCACGCAGCGTAGATACTCCATCAACAGTCCAGTTCAACACTGGCAATGGGTCTCAGAACAACTCATTGCAGAGAAAACAAAAGAGGCAAGACAGCAGCAATGCCTTGAATAACCTTGGACTGCCTACTCCGGATGGTAAGTCTACTTATCTTATTGATAAAGAGGGAGATATCTCTTCTTGAGTCTTCGCGCCCATGGAACTCTGAACATGACATGTTGAACTATTTTTAAGGTGCTTCCTCACCGGGAGCATTCACGTGTAATGTAACATTATAGATTCGGCTTTGAGCATTACATTACAATAATACCTGCCTGACTAATGAGCATTTGAGTGTGATGTAATCTATAGATTCGACTTTGAGCATTACATTACAATAATATCTGCCTGACTAACGAGCATTTGCATGTAATGTAACATTATAGATTCGACTTTGAGCATTCCATTACAATAGTACCTTCCTGACTAACGAGCATTTGCGTGTAATGTAACATTATAGATTCGACTTTGAGCATTCCATTACAATAATACCTTCTGACTAACGAGCATTTGCGTGTAATGTAACATTATAGATTCGGCTTTTAGCATTACATTACAATAATACCTTCCTGACTAACGAGCATTTGCGTGTAATGTAACATATTGATTCGACTTTGAGCATTACATTACAATAATATCTCCCTGACTAACGAGCATTTGCGTGTAATGTAATATATTGATTCGACTTTGAGCATTACATTACAATAATATCTCCCTGACTAACGAGTATTTGCGTGTAATGTAACATTATAGATTCGACTTTGAGCATTACATTACAATAATATCTCCCTGACTAACGAGTATTTGCGTGTAATGTAATATATTGATTCGACTTTGAGCATTACATTACAATAATATCTCCCTGACTAACGAGTATTTGCGTGTAATGTAACATTATAGATTCGACTTTGAGCATTACATTACAATAATATCTCCCTGACTAACGAGCATTTGCGTGTAATGTAATATATTGATTCGACTTTGAGCATTTCATAGCAAGATGTCAGACGTAGCGGGCGGACGGAGGGCTGGGGGGAGTGGGGAGTGGGGCACATGACGTTACAAGTAGTATCAAGATATTACACTTACACATTGTATCATTACAAGGTGCGCATTGTAATGCTCGGTTCTCCTCCTTCACTGATGTAATGCTCAGATCTGTAACGTTATATTACACGCGAATGCTCCCGGTGAGGGGAGCACCTTTATGTTGTTCAGATTTGTTCTATGATAGGATTATGAATGGTGAGCTAAATGTATGCATAGGGTTTCTTTTTTGTAATTTTTGACTGGGTTACCTATAGGAACACAAATTGTCGGTTTTGGAATTGAGTACCTATACAATTTCAAATGGGAATTCTTATTTGGTTAAACCTTGATATCGTGGTATTCATGATATACGCATCTCATGTTTTTCCTACAGACAAAATTGATCCATTGTATAATACATTTCATCAAAAGACTCACTTTTTTATAATATACAAGTGATTCGATACCTAAATAACCCAGTACCTTTAAATTTTGAATTTATATTTCTAACCATCACTTAATTTTTAGCGAATCGAGTACCAAACGGTGGTATCATCCATGGTGTCGATGTTCGGTATGCGGCCACCTATGGCAACCCCCATTTACGGACAGGGGGTGGTCTTGGGTTCGCTACCACGGTCAACACTGCTAAACCAGCGTCTACTCCTGCACCACCACCCTACTCCTCAGTAAGGAGTTCTGTGGTTTTACCTTCAGGTGAGTTATAAGAAAATAACTGGTTAACCAGTGTAACATGAACTGTCATTGACAAGACAGCTTATTCCAAGACAGATCTTGTTATGCTGGATGTTTGTAAAAACATAATTTATAGAGTTTAGCGACTATGAATCAGTTTGTTAGCAATAGGTAGCATCCTAAAGTTTATCTGTTTAATTGTTTAAAATTAATTTAAACCGTTCTTCACGATTATACGCCAGAAGAAGAAGAAGAATAATAATAATAAATCATTTATTCAAAACAAAGAAGTACAAAGAATTTCGTAAGAACAAGACATTACAATAATAATATCATGTATCTATGTAACTAGAGAATTGTATTGTGAACCTGATTGAAAAAGAGTGATGGAGTTTCTTGCTCGTTCTTCTCCATAGGAATCTACATCTTGGAATGAGCAAATAGCTTCACTTTTAAACTTCTATAGTTGACGTTCAAAAGTGCCTTCCTGCAGCTGTAGCCAAATGCCATTTAGCGCTTGTCCAAAAAGAACTCTAGAAAACCAAATTATATGGAATTGACGTAAATTTTGACACTTGTCAGTGTCATCCCCATACATTTTGATTTCTACTCTCTTTGTAGACAAGCGCTAAAGTGGCGTTTGGCTAAAGGCACTGGTCTAATTGAAATAAATGATTTTGACTTTGACTTTGACATGGCACTTACCTAGAAGAAGATATTCGCTGACAAACATAGGCGTCGGGTCTCTGTTTTCACATTTTAATATCTATAAAAACAAGATATGTGTGTTTGAGTTTCTACATTACGAAAGTGCCAGTCTTAACAGAATTTCTATTTTCGTACGTCTCCATTCCTATTGTTCTGTCTCATTACCAAGGAAACAAGAAAGAAATGTATATTTAGAAATTCTCTGAACTCGGAAAGTTTCGATTTGTGACTATACAACATTGGACTTTACAACAATGTAATTATGTTCATAATTAAACCAGCACAATGTTTTATTTAAAAATAATTGCAGAAGTATTTTTTTTTATTATTTTTGAGCTCTGAAGGCAGTGGTATTAATTCTTTGCAACTCCAATACCCGGACGGAATAAAAATCAATCTCACCAGCCGCCGCCATATTGGTTTTGCAAATATTTGTGTTTGTAAACTCATTCCGTGAAAAGGAGAAATTCATAGAAGCAGGAAATTTGTTTTACAAATAAAATACAATATTTTTATTTCCTGCAATCTGATGCGATAATATTTGTTTATAAATGTTATTTTTGTGATATATTACATTTCCCAAAATGTATACATGTTTTTCAAGTGTACACAATTATTTATTTTGTTACCTACAAATAAAAAAACTTTGGTATTCGTTTGTATTGCTATCGTTTCCGAGTAAGAGTTGGTATTAATTTTTGAATTTGTCATAATATCGGTTCAAAAAAATAGTAGGTACACATCGTTTTTGTTTGTTTTTCTTATGATATTGATAAAAATATGTAGACACGATTATTAGATCTGTCTATTCGAGAATTATAGAATACTAGCGGACCCAACAGACGTTGTCCTGCATATCCACTTGAATGCATAAACAAAAATTCATTCAAATTAGTTCAGCTAGGATAAATAACCTAAACTTCGACTGCACCATCTGGCGGGCTGGTTTGTGAATCTAAACCATTCCCAGATCCCCTTGAACACACAAAAAATTCATCAAAATCGGTCCAGTCGTTTGAAAGAAGTTCAGTGACATACACACTCACAGAAGAATTATAATATAAAGAAGATATTATATCATAAACTGTCGTCGTCTGGTAATAAAGTTCTACATGTTTTTTTGCCAACAGGTAACTCGTCACATTCGATAACGTCACCAACCAGTCTGGCGTCACCACAATGTGCAACCAGCCCCATTACCACTTCAACCATGTCCACCGACAGCACGCAACCAGCGGTAAGTTACAGATAAATCCTTACTTCCATACTAATATTATAAATCGAAAAGTGAGTTTGTTTGTTTGTTTGTTTGTTCCGACTTCATGCCGTAACTACTAAACCGATTGCATTGAATTTTTGCAGACGTAAAGTTAGTAGTCTGGATTAAATAATAGGGTACTTTTTATCCCGGAAAAATTTGATATTCCCAGGGGAAAACAAAAGTATTGGCATAGATGGCGCTGTGTGTATTGGTATATGTCACATTGGCTATTTATCCTTTTGTGACGCGAGCGAAGCCGCTGGTAAAAGTTAGTAGTAAATAACCTAGCAATCATAAATACTTTAACGTAAAAATACATTCAATTGAGATTTTGTGGAAAAGGAGATTTAAAGAAAAAAATTATAGAATTTACAATTGCTTTAACTCGTCGAGTACCGGTTTTATAGACACAATTAAAGAACAATAGGTCGCGGTCACCGGTGACCGCTTGGTGTTTGACAGTTTAACAAAGTGACTGCGTCGTTGGCCGAGTGGTTGCAAGTGCGACTGCCGGGCAAGGGTCTCGGGTTCGATTCCCGGGTCGGGCAAAGTACTACTAAGTTTTTAAAAATTCTCAGTAGTAGCACGGAGTCTGGAATTGTGCCCAGTATATGGCAATAGGCTCACCCCCTATTATATGGGACACATAACACAAATAGTGAAAAGTGGGTGTTACATTGTACAGTGGCATAATGTGCACCTCTGCCTACCCCTTCGGGGATAAAAGGCGTGATGTTATGTTTTACAAAGTGTAAAACAAAAATATAGGTACTCGGTAAAGGGCAGTGGTAGGTTTGGGAAATTATAAAAAAGTTCCGAATGAGATGTACACACATCTGAGGTATGAGTGTCAGATCATTCATTTCATCCTTGTTCTATATGTTATCCAATCTTCAACGATGTGTAATAATTTTAATTAAAATTGTAACTATTGTCTTAGGTTGGGGTAGCCACCTCTTCGGCGACACCACAGTCGCCCAGCGCGCACTACATATTAGCACCATCAAATAGGACGATAAGTAATGCGACTGTTACCAAAAAAGGTAAGAATTTTTGTCTAGCTTATATTAATCCATTGTTTTATTATGTTTTTATAGTAACTAAGTAAGTATTTCATACACATACGGATTATATCGGCGAGCTTGGGGCCTATTTCATTGTTGTTAAAAATATATAGTGCGGTTAGTGATACAAGTTCATTTTTATTTCCACTACACTTTTTGCCAGTCACATTACATTTTTTCCTGTTGTATTGTAAATTTTATAATATGTAACATGATACCTACTTACAACTAAAACTTAAAACTAACAAAAAATAAAAGAAAACTAAATATAACTATAATTAACAGTGCACAAAAATTGTAACAGAATTAAAAATATTTAAATATCGAGTCTACATGCATAATATTGTAAAACTTATATTCTACTACAAAAATATACATATTTTTATTTATTTCATTTCATTTTATATGTATAGTTTCATCTATTGGAATGAGTTTGGTATTACGATGCCGATATTGCGGAAATAGAATAGGATATATTTCAAATGTTGTCGAACCGGTAAATAATTCAAACTGCGCTGAAAACGGGCAGTAAATCATGCACAGCATTTTGGAACATCCCGATAGATCGCATATTCTCGTTCAAACGAACTTATAAGTTCCTACTTATATAGTCTTGTACAACTTATAAGTTCAATTTTAAGTTTACAATTATTTTAAATATGTATTTTGCTCAAAATTGCTATTGCTTACAGAATGTTACTAGAAATTTTTATTTACAAATAATATAAACTTAAATAAAATAAATACTAACTATTACTTAAGAGATACTAAAACTAATGGAAAATAAATAAAAGTTTTACTTTTGTAAATATCATAGTCAAAATCGAAAATTATTACTTCAAATACACTAGGAAGGCACTTTTGAACGCCAAACAAATATCAAATATGTCATTCTATCGGTCAGTCCTCTAGTGAAGCTATTTGCTCGTTCCAAAGTATAGATTAACGTATAATAGATAAGATCGAGCAAGAAACTATAGGTTACTCTTTTTCAGTCAGATTCACAATAGTGCGATAATTAAGTAGGAAATATTATGTGGGTTACCTGGAAAGTTTTTCGGGGACTGATCGAGAATTTACAGATCAAAATTTCGCCCAAATTATTTGCGAGACTTGTATAGATTCATTACAAGTATTTTCGTTCAAAAATAACGACTATGACATACCGATAGGTGCCCAAGATGAAAACTCCTGTGTATTAATAATGAGAAACACCTAAGGGCTGGAGATTGTGGCAAGTTGCTGTGTATAGCAATCACATGAGCATTAGACCTATCAAAGACTACAAAAAAAAATAAAATAAAAAAAAAAAAAAAACTTCCCGCTTTCTCTACTTTCACGTGGTGTGGCAATTATTTTTTTTCCCTAAATACTCATAGAAATGTACTTTACGGTGCTCTGGCGCCAAAGCTATTTATATTACAAAGATCGGTCTAGTCATAAATTATGTAAAACTGTGAATAGTTTAATTTTGTAGTTAACGGATTTTACGTAAAATGCACAGGAAAAGAGATATTGTAGAAAAACTACTTTTGGCCGCCATTTTTCTAAGATGGCAGCGTAAACTGCGCACGCACGAAGGTGCAAAATGGAAATCGAAAAGAGCACATCAAAATCTACAAAATTACCGATTTTCAAAACTCCCAGAAAATAAAATTTCATATGACCTTGATTTTAAATTGACATTCATGACTTTAAATAACTTTAATTTCTTTGTATTAATTCAATTGTTTATTCTATATTAATATTTGTACGCCAAGTAAGATATAGTGTAGCATAGCGTAACTAAACCTGTTTTTCGCTTATGAACATCTATGTAATACCACAATAAATAAATGATTATGATTATTAAAACATTCTAGGTAAAACTACCAAATTACTGAACTACAATACATAATTATCATAACATTTTCAGATTTGCTGTCAAAAATAAATTAGGGACAGATGAATTGAATTATGTTTATTTATAAGTTATTCTTAGTATCATAAAATATTGACAGTTATTTTTGTTATTTCCAGGTAACGGGCATCAACCCCCATTAGCAACCCACGTATAAGTTAAGTTTAACAATTTTTCTATAAAAAGACTTTTGATGAATTTACTACGCAATGACTTTGTGTACTATAACTTAGTTTATTTTTATTTAAAAATCATTAATTTAGAAGTATTTTCTCATGTTAATTCTGCGGTCAAATTAACGAAATGTAATCAATTAAACTTTTGTAACATATTACAAAATTTTAATTCAAATATTTTTTGTAGTGTTAATTTAAAATTGTATACTAAAAATTATTACAAAAAATATTTGAATTGAAATTGTGAGCCTCTACTGTCCTTGACGTCGTTTAGCTAGCATATTAGTGTTCAAATCTAGGTTTTAGATCGTAAATCTAGATTATCACAAAGAAATCCTTGTCATAACCGAATTAGGCAAAGATTGATCGGTTTGGACATTTCAAAATGTTAATTATACCTATTGCGTGTATTTTACCTTGCTAGGTATTTTATTAAACTGGTAAAAATATATTATGGCGAGGTGACATCATTTTGATTTAAAACAAATAAAAACTTTATTGTGTTTACCTATTTTTCTCCAAAATAAAAAAAAAGTCTTTTTTCTAGCCCTTTAATATCAGCTGCCTGTTAGCAAAAAATATACTGTATTAAATAAAAATGATCGTCCTTCATCGTTAAAAAATTTTAGTCAATTCTTTGTAAGTTGTTGAAATAAAAAAAAAATGTAAATTTTCGTCAATTTCGTATAACCCGACTGAGACTGGTCTTGTTACTATTGTATTAAAGTGTGTATAATAATATTAAATTAAATGTATTTAAATGTAACGGTTGCGTTTTTTGAGAGAATGCAAATTAACATTTATTTAAAAAAATGATTCATTGAATTTTGATTCTCGAAACATTTATATTAAATAGTTTTAACTATTTCATTGATTTTACTATTAATTTTGATTTTTGAAACAGTTATGTATTTTATTTCAAATAATTTTAACTATTTCTTTTTTTAAATAAACTAAATGCATCTCTCTCAAATAAAACATCTGTTACATTTTCATTAAATCATCGCCTTCTAGATTCATAAAATTTTATTTTTTCTTGTAGATAAAATCAAAGTCAATTTTATATAAAAAAGGAACTTTTAGTAAGTAATACATGCGTAGTAAATAGTTACTTTTATTTTTATGTTCTCTTTTTCACGTTTATAAAATAAAATGTAGTGTAAATGTTGAAAAAAATAGTATCTATTCTATTATTATTATTATACGTTACACTGTTAATTTTTCAGAAACTTACATATCAAAATAAATAAACATTTTTATCACTTTCTGTGACGTAGTTCGTTATTTAGACATAAATCTTATAATTATGGAATAAGCTTTAATTTGTCTAATATGTGCCATTCATAGTATTTCAAACATATCTGACATATATTTTTTATTTTTTGCAAAAATGCACAGTTCTTCCATAATTTTCTGTAGTGCAATGTCAATTTATATTTTATATTATTACTGGGCATTTTTTTAAATATTATATTTTGCCCAAATAAAAATTAATAGTAATATTAAATCAATTATCAAATTAAATAATTACGGCTTATCACATGCTCAATAATCTATAGGAAAAGTTAAAATTTCATTTAAATTTTTCAATTCAAGACTGATTAGACTAACCTACACCGCACGCCTAATTTATCTATTTCTACTCTTCAAAAAATAGTTATTATCTCAACATATTTTAGAAATTATACATTGCATTTATCATTATTCAAAAAAATATACGAAAATACATTTAATTGCCTAATAGAATTGTTATTTTATTTAAAATTTGTATTCATTTGTTTAAAACTTTTTTAGATCAATATTTTAGTTTTAAATTTATCTGAATTTAAAATGTTATAAAAAAACTCTGTTTATCGATTTAAGAAAATTGCTTAAAAATAGTCTAGTGATATAATATCGACACAATCGCCTTAGAAATCATGTCAACCGTCTTGTAATGTTAAATTTCACCCCGATATTTTTTGTATTTTTAATTAAAAAAATGTATTTTTATTTTAGTTTCTTGTAAACATTTTAAACTTTTATTTTAAAAAGGATACTAAAAATATCGTTGACTTTTTTATTACCTAAACATAAAGCTGCTTACACACTCGCGATTTTAAACTTTCGAAAAAATGCAAAAACGTCTGAGTGTAGGGTGGTTTAAGTCGATTATTCCTCTTGTAATAAAACTATTATTATGCTAGATAAATAATTATTTTTTCTGTGATACATAGATTAAAGTGTTTTTTGTAAATATTAATCGCTATATTACTATGTGAGTGAAATTGTTAAGAAAATTGTACTACATAATAATAACAGAAATGTAAGGCTTTTGAGTATAATATGAACTAATTTAGCGGATAGTATGGAGATTGTGTTTTATGGAGTGAAAAAAGAAAAAACCTAGTTAGAAAAAGGGATGAGTTAAGAGTTGCGACTTGTAAATTAGTAAAATTGTACAAACTACTTTTCTAAATAAAAGAAAATTTGGCCTATGTAGTGTGTGTTTTTATTTCCCTCTGGGGAATCTAATTCAGTTTGTCGATGTCAAAAGGAAGTACTTTGTGAATAGCAGGGTGAATTGACTGATCTCTTTTGCCATTTCGTACGAGTACACTATTCTATTTCGTTATCTTTACGAAAGGAAAACTTTCAATCGAATACTCTTCAATTTTCCGTAGACGGAAATGTTTTTAACCGACTTCAAAAAATTAAGGAGTTTGTCATTTTGACCTGTAAGTATGGAATTTATTAATATGTCGACTGCTGGGCAAAGGGTCTCGGGTTCGATTCCCGGGTCGGGCAAAGTACCTACTATTGAGTTTTAAAATTCTCAGTAGTAGCATGGAGTCTGAAGTTGTGCCCGGTATATGGCAATAGGCTCACCCCCTATTACATGGGATTCATAACATAAATGGTGAAAAGTGGGTGTAACATTGTAAAGTGGTTTTAAGTGCCGTAATACCTATAAATAATTTACTATATTTACATGACAGATAGTTTATATGTCAAATAAAATTTAGAGACAGTTGTAAAATATATACAACTACTGCAAAATGTATGCAGGCATTAACGTCATGTCATATAAACATCATTCTTTGTATGACATTATGGATTGTCCGCAATGGGAGAGTTTAAACTGACAAATATTTCAAACAGAGGCCAGAGTACGCGCTCTGATTGGCCAGTTCAAAAAAACTAACCAATCAGAGCGTCAAATGCGGTCTCGATTACAAAAAGTTATGTATTACGAAAAACGAATTCATACTAAGCCCGCAGGACAGGTTTAAAACGTTACTATAAAAACGACTGCTTCGCTGGCCGAGTGGATTTTGAAATCGCCAACCCGCATATAGAATGCGTGGTGATTAATGCTCAAACCTTTTCCGTGTGAGAAGATGCTTTGCACAGTAGTGGGCATTTATAGGCTGTTGTTGATGATGATTATGAATCCAAAATCTGTATAAAAACCAAGGGTTTTTGACTGATTTATGTCATTTAGATTAATGTCAGTCCCAAGCTGAAGTACTTCTTTCCTTAATTAACTCGTCGAGTACCGTATTTATAGACACAATCAAAGAACAATAGGTTGCGGTCACCGGTGACCGCTTGGTGTTTGACAGTTTAAACTAGCAAATCGAGGACGAAAGAATCTATATACAGATAAATAAAATGAGAATGTCTGTTTGTAATATTAAAATAACCGCTTTTACCACATGCGCAATGAAAATATGAAAAAAGGTATAACAAACTATTTTTTATTAATTTTTTGTCTCTGTCTGTCTGTTCTGGCTAATCTCTGAAATGGCTGTACTGATTTCGAAGGGACTTTTAAAGGCAGGTATCTGCTGTCTAAAGAGTAACATAGGCTACTTCTATTTTGGAAAAATTATGTCCCTCATATTCTACGCGGACAAAGTTGCGGGCAACAGCTACTAATAAAATATTAGCCGAATACCTCAAATCAAATAGCAATATATTTGCTTATAAAATATCTGCAACGTATGACTTGACAGGTAGCCGAACTACTGCCAAGACACACTTCGTGCTCAGCGTGGCAACTAGACTGCGATTCTCTCTTATACAAGGTGTAGTTTTGAAGCCGTGTCATTTCTCGAGGACATGTCACAGACGTCATAAAGGTTCAATGTAAGAGAAAATTTCGGGTCAATAGTTAAAAATACGGCTATAATAAATCGTTTAAGTTGGACAGTAATTCAGAAAAAATGTGAAAAAGCGACAGCAATGCTTCTTATTGGAGTTTTATGGAATTAGAAATAATATTAATTACGTGTTTGAGTTTGTGTGTATTATGCCGCGTCATAAATCTAGTTACAAGACGGCGGCGTGTAGTTCACACTTACGGATTTCCGTAATTTACCTACAGAAAAATGAAAAATATTTACCTACCATTTTTTTTATTGATTCAGACTCAGAATCGATAGCCGAGTTACCTCCTAGAAAATGACGCGGCTTTAAAACAACACCTTGTATTTACAGCTTGGAATTATGTGACAGCTTCATAAATGTGTTTCTACTGAGATTTATTGATTGATTACATTGTATTTGATACAAAAAATTACTGCCTCGTAGGCCGAGTGGTCGCAAATGTAATTGCCGGGCAAGGGGTCTCGAGTTCGATTCCCGGGTCGGCCAAAGAAATAGTGGGATTTTTTTTAAAATCTCTGTAGTAGCACGCTGTTTGGAATTGTGCTCAGTATATGGCAATAAGCTCACCCCCTATTACATGGGACTCATAACATAAATAGTGAAAAGTGGTTGTTACATTATACAGTGGCATTAAGTGCAGTAATGTGCGCCTCTGCCTACCCCTTCGGGGATAAAAGGCGTGACGTTTACCCAGAAACGATAGCACACTGAAATAGTTTCTTACATGTAGTCCAGAACACTTCGTTGTTACCAATAGTAGGTACCAAGTAGGTTTTTTTAAGGGCGGAAAATCATCGAATGACTGCTCCCGCCTGGGTGAGGTGGGAGG